CAGACCCACGCCATCGAACGCGCTTTTCGTCAAGTCTGGTGAAAATTCTGGTCGAAATGGATTGAAACGACGCATCGCAGAGGAACCAATCGCTTTTGTTCCGGGAGCTGTGCCGCGTATTCGAGTTATATCCACATGCGTGATCCTATCCGCGAGCATTACGTCGACCAAAAACGTTTTCTATACCTGGAGTGGACAAACGTAGTCGCATTGCCACGATAAGCCACATATGAATAAATATTGCAATCATACCTTTAACTCCTTGAGTCCAAGTTTTTAACAAGAATTATTTTCTTCTTTTTCAAATAAAAAAAAAAAAAAATGGAATATTTCCATACCTTTAGTACTCTATTCATAAACATGATCCTGAGTCACTTTTGGAAAATCTTTACTCAACTGGGACAGGCGAACGTCGCTGATCATCGTTAAAGCAATTCCCGTTAAGGAAGATTGACGTTCCGTTTGAAAGCGCGTCGTTCTCGACGACGAATCGATCGATGGTTATTCCGAGGCACGATAACTCGCGTCTCGCTGTTTGGACTGTTAGAAAAATTCGGAAAGTCGAGGCTCGAATATTCTTAAAAGTACAAGCAGTTGAATGCCGTTCCCGTCGACGTTGATTCCGCCGTACGAACAATGCCTATTATTGTGCGGTTCAAAAGAGCACTTTCCAGATTGATGTTAAAGGTGTACTGCGATAAGATCGAAGACAGCGATTACACGGTCAATTGGCGTCCTCTTGGCAACGTTTACTCCTCCAGGATGCTGTCCCATAATGGCCACCGTGGCCATTGTGATACAGAAATCAGCGAAGTGATCTCCTGATCCGAACTTGTGAGAAGTCGCGACTGCACCGTTATTTCCCATGATAAAATTGTATGTTCTACTCGAGGCAATTGCCTTCTCGACCGATTAACGTTTACCTAGAACGTTGAATATTTAAAGCGTATTTTACGTTGTATGTTTCCACGACGATTTACCTGCAAAGCAGTTGCTTCATGCCGCCTTAACGACGTAATATAATTATTTGTCGCTGTCATCGACGCCAGAAAGTCCTCTAGTTATCGTCCGCAGCTATCGTCGCTTATTGACGCTCGATTAAAGCACATTAACGTCAACTTGACTCCATTAGCTCCGTAACTGATCGGATCTACGAGGGAAAAAAAAGTCTCTAAACCCGTCGCGGAAGTTATGGTGGAACACGGACGCATGCGAGGATCATCTTAACCCATTTGCATCACACGGAAAAGTAGAAAATTCATTCTTATTACCAGTATTTTATTTGAATTCGATTCCCAAGTAATAATGTTACAAATTGGTTAAACGATTCAGTGCACGATAAAACCCACACATTCTCTTTTCCTACCCCCCCACCCCCCTCTCTCTCTCTCTCTTCCCTATTCCAACCACCTAGCACACGAACATCCCTCGCGTGGACACGCTTTCACAGAAGTTATAATGGCACACGATTTATCGCTGGAACGAGGCCCCCCGGATTATCCGCGCGATTCGTTCCGTCGGCAGATCCGTCGCGAGAATTCGCCAAGTTTTCGGGTCTCCGAGCCGAGAGTTTCGGTCGAGTACCCCCGAACGAGAGCGGGGCGCCATCAGCAAAATGCTCTCCCTAATTGAAAACGAACCTATCCTGGCGCTCTACGTCGAGGAAGCTGTCGTTGGATTGCGCGAGATTAATCCAGATTACTCGAGATTAGACAGAATTAGTCTGCTCTCTCCTCCGTGTTGGGCGAGGCCGTGCACAGCGCGACAGCCACTTTTGCAGGCTGCGTCGCGACGCTTCCGGTTTTGGTAGGCGAAACGGAACGTGTCGACGGGAGGACGAATCGCTGAACGACGCGCGCCAAAACGGAAACACGGGTGCGTTCGTTACGGCTGATGAATTCCGTTGGGTGTAGCAAAGCAACTCGAAATTGTACAAAGCATTCGAAAATCCTGGGAATAACGGTGTGATCCATGCAAACGCGCCAGTAGAGCGTACTTTGTGCAATAAAAAGTGATAAATGAATTGCAAATATTGAAATGCTGCACACGAATTTAGATTAACGTAACAGAATCGTTGCTGCTACCACTAATCTATTCGTAATGTTTCGATACGCGACGAGATGCATTTAATACGGAGTCTAGTTACAGTATACCAACCTTGTTTCATACTCGCATCGTTCAATATTGACATAGAACGAAATCGGATTACACGGCATTATGACAATTTCCTCGGAAAAGCCCTAATCCCACAGCACGTTCCTCTGAGCTTCACAACAAGGATCGAAGACATATAAATTGTTTGCATCTCTTATCGCACCTCTTGCTACGTTGTATGAAGAGAACTCCTTCTTTTTTCAACGGTCGTTTGGAAAATCCTGATAGAAAAATTTCAGGTTCGTAGGGAAAGTAAAAAGGAGAAATTACTCAAATACCATTCTTAATCGGAAACCTACGCTTGAAGGACCGGTCGACAGGGAGGAATGTTCCATGGATACTGTGTATTGATTTATTGTGTTTTAACAGTAATCTTCACGTCTTACAATTACTTTTGGCCGTTAACATATATTCGTACAAACATTATAATATATAATTACTCTGTGCCTTAAAATGTTCCAATTACACATACAACGGTTACCAGTGACGAATGGTTGAGCAAGTATTATAGACAGCGGGGTAAGATGTGGAATGGGATGATTTAAAAATGCACGAAAGCAAAATGTTCCATCGAGACTATTTGTCCGTTTTCTTTTTGCTTCGAGAAATTGTACACAAAGGATAACATCGGGCTATTGTAATAAATGGTGGCAGTATCACTGGGAAAACGAGAGTATAACGTCTACGGAAAAGTATGACTTTTCGATCTTCTCGAAATCGCAAGCTGTCGAACAGAAGCGGTCGACTTTGTTTGGATTGTAATTCATTTTTCTTGTATTATTTTCGATCAGAGATACACTGTTAATCTCGATCGTATCTTTCGACTGTCCCCATCACTCTATCTCTCGTACTTCCTCGCAAACGTCGTATCTGACATACTCCGGAGTCAAGTGAGTGGCCTTTAGCAGCCGATTGACTTTGATCCGTCTGTAGGTACGTTCCTAAGCTCAAGTGATCTGCCCTGAGTGTTCCCATAAAGTAAGGGGAATGCTTCTCGACCCTGCCTGCGGAATTATTAATTTCCTTATGCCTGACTTAGCAGTTCTCTTGTTCGAAAACATTCAAAATTCAACGCGTGCCAATCGATGACAATCAGAATAAGCTTACTCGATGCATTATACACTAAAGGGATCCGGGTTCCATCCAGAACAGATTTCTTGAACTCCCATTCGTAAAATGCAAGAGTTCCAGAGTTCAATTCAAGAGTTACAAGATGGCATATACACATAACATGTTATAAAACTTGAATACTCTTATTTAACCTAAAAGGAACATAGGAAAGAGGAATAAAAATCAGAAAAGGCTTTCGCCTCGCCTTAATACAGGGTACAAATTGACTATAAAATTTTAGAAAGTGTTCATTTGATACTTTTACGGTGGTATCGAACAGTCAGGCTAACAAAATTCGGTCCTGCCTAAAAGCATCGAGTGAGCAGCGCTTGGTCACGGATGAGCAATCGTGTTCTTCAGCTCGCCACTCGTTCTCGCAAATATCCCGCTCGTCTTCCAGGATCGTTTCGACGCCCATTCCAAAAACACCGCGACGCTGAAACGGCTGAATCGATCTTGAACTTAGACTCCCCGCCCTCTTAAATCACAGACGGCTAACGAGGTACGTTCGCTTAAGTTCCCTCAGCCTCGTTTTCTTGCTCGTGCACCGTGTACGTGCCGCGAACCTCGACGGATATTTATTCCGCGATCCCGCATGCCAGTCTCTGATGACTTTGGGGATTCGTGAGTGGAAGCAGCAAGCTGGGTTGGCATCGTTCGGGCGAATCGACGAACCGGAAGCCTCGTGTACCGCGCCGCCATCGACGCTGATCGCGGCTACTTGATTGCCTCGACCCTACATCTCCTGCACGCGAGCCTCCCTTCTTTTTTCACTCTGCTTTCTTCCCTTCCGCACCCTCGACATCGATGACCGTGATTTTTCACCCTCGCGATTAACACGATCACCATTAGGTATGCTATGCGATGAAAACAACCTCGCGCGCTTCAAGTGGAGTGAAAGTATAGTAGTAGTAGTAGTAAAGTTGCTCGAAAATTAAGCCATCATTGGGGTTTCAATTATGTAGAAATGAATGGGAATTTTGACTTTTTCTTTTTGCACGATGATTATGTACATCTTGGAGATTAAGATAAATTTTGTTCAGTTCTGCACGAGTGCAAACGCTATCAATTGTTTTAAAGAAAGCACCTTAGGCCCTGGACTATCGTATCTCTTCGTTAACAGTCTTAGTACTAATTACGATCCTGGCCACCCAGAATCCTGTAAGTGTCTTAGGACAATTTAATCCACACATAGACCCGTGTATGTATCAGGTGTACGATCACGTGTGATCGGTGTTGACATGGATGCAATATGATGTTAAACTTGGTGTCCGAGGCCTACATCGATTGCACCAATGCACCTCCTCCAAGATAGTAGAAAACAGAGTTTGCTGGGTGCGAACATTGTAATTGCCTATCTAGATATGATATGTCACCGATTGAGCGGGGACGGAAATAGCAGGTATAGCCAGTGGAAGGTACCAGCCAGGAACGAAAACATTTGCTGGACTGCAACTTCGATATTCTTTGCTACGACGCGAGTCAAATATTTCCGTGCAGCGTGTACGATGTGTCGAATAAACAATGTATGGATCGGAGTTCGCCTAGACGGATCAGAACTTCGGGTTAGTTTTCCTATCTACGAATAAAAGCTGCTGTGAAAAATACAATCTTCGAGACGAAAGCCTCTGGTCTACGATTCGAATATCCATTACACGTGGCACGAGTGAATATCCTTGTTCAGAGTGTAAAATAGTGAACGAAGAATTAATATTAATGCATAGTGCTACGATGTATTTAAATCAATTATTTTTGGTCTTTCTAGACGTTGTATATAAAAACATTGCTTGTGAGTATCCTATACCTGGACTAAATCACTTGGAATCGTGAACACGAAAGGACTTAGGACATCGTTCGCTATGAACAGAACTCGAGGGCTCGAATGTCGCGTTTAGTGATGCTAATCTATGTTACAGTACAGTGAGTATCAAAAGGGATGACCCATCGTGTAATTCACTCGCGGCATATAGGGTAACTGAGTAGAGTCGTACGAATTTCATAGTTTAAGATCATGTGTCCTACTTATTGCGAATATAATCCTGCCACATGTTTCAATTCTCGTCGCAAAGAGGTGATAGACAATGTAACACGAACTAGGTAGTGATATGATACGTTCATTGATTGTTCGAGGTTTCCGAGTGCGCTTCGCGATACAGTACAGAATACAAAATATATAGAAAACGATCTGGTCTTGATTACGGTGAAAAATAGAACAATCAATCGATACCTATTAGACCTCCAACGAGTATAGAGTTTCCGATACGCTACGAGGTTAAGCTTCAACCTGAACGATTACGACACTGTTTGAAAAAACAGATACCGACTAGACCGTAGATTTAGAATTTTAAATGCAACTTTGCGATTTGTATGTTTCTGATCTATCATTCCACCCTTCAGACTTGCTCGAAGATTACCTACCTGATCTCTGCATGCCTCCAAGTTAAGAAAAACACCCCGAAAATTCAAGTTCAGTAACAATCGTCACAGTTAAACAACAACCAGGCAAACGCTTAATCGGTTTCAACCAATCTATCGTTCTCCAACAATCGAGTGTTATATGTAAACTTTTCGACCCTTGAGCTTTCGTCTTCTGTTACGTAGAAAAAATTCATTTCAAAGATCTCGCTGTAATATCACGGCACCATGTCAGGTAAAACATTACAACCTACAGACTTCTCTGTAAACGAAAAGCGATGGTCGCGTCTACTGGTTAGGTTCATGCGTTGCAACCGAATAAAAAGGACGGCGAATAGGATCTTGCGTTCGATTAACGAAATCTCCAACGAAACTTTCGTCACTTGACGTTCTTGATCATTTTCAGGGGATCCCGCATGTAACGAGCGAAAACCTCCTTCTTGAACGTCTCGAAATGCTTTCTGTTGGCACTGTTCTGTCGCTCGCGCCACGCTGGTCTGCTCTTTCTGGTCTGCAGACCCCAGTGTCCGGTGAACACTGGCGAGAGAACCTTAAATTGATACCCAGCAACGAACATCTCGTACACCTGTACAAAAAGGGGACGTTGTTAATAGAAAAGTCGAAATTTGTGGCTTGGCATTTCTCTGTACAAAAAGTGGACGTTCGATAAATGCCAGGGTTGGAAGCTGTGGAGGCTTATTCGAGAAGAGGTATTTAACGAGAGCCAGGCATCTGAAAGCTCACCCCGTCAATTGCTGTATTTACCACTCATTCTATATAACGAGGAGCATCTGCTAAGCGAGAAACGAAACTTGATCGCACAAGAATAAAGGTATTCTTAATGGATATCCATCAAACAGGCACTTACCAAAGTTCCACTGTAACTTTTATAATTTTTCTATTGTTTTTATAACTAATTATTAGAAAACTAACGTTAAGCTTATGACTTTGATTCGTGGCACCAGCAGCTGGGAAGGGATAAAGTTGTAAACGACCGAACCAAATTCTTTGCAACTCAGCCTCGCGATTTGATGCTTCGCATTTCAAGTTCGAATTTCACAGAGCAGAGATTTCCTCGGTTCGTCTAGCACCCATGCAACACCGTAAACGCACGCCGCTATTTACCTTGCAAATACGCGCCCACGGTTATGCGGGTACCAATAGGACGATTATATCGATCGTTTGGAGGAAAAGAATGTAAAGTAGGGTAATTATGTGTATCTTCTTTGCGAAAGCGAATAAAAAGATTAGGAGAATGATGAATCCGTCTGACTGCGCATACCACGGCCAAAATATGGGAAGAGTCTCTCTTTTATAAACTTGTGAAGGTGCATGGGTTAATAAATGTACGAGGGAAAATCAATTTTTAATAACGTTAGGAGTAAATTACTCGAAACGGTTTAACATGGACCCTAGGTCGAAACGTGAACCTTTGAGATTTACAAAATAAAACGTCCGAAATAAAATCTAATTTTTGGTTGCGGTAAAAAATTACTCTAAAATTCGCGTTTCCTACAACGCGCGTGTGCGCATGATAATAGATCTTTTAGAAAATGTACAAGAAAATGTGTATTTTCCCCGGGTGCAGTGGATGTCTTTTCGGGTTGTTTCCTTCGTGAAATTAAGAACTGCCACATGCGAAAAACGGCGTGGCGAAGTTGGCGAAATTATTTTCCTGCCGTGGTAACCCCCTTTGTGTGTTACGTAAGTTTTTTGCCTGGTAACGCGCAAACCACGAGTGAAGTTTCTGGTAACGCCGCATCGCGTAGATATCCCGGGGATAGTGACATTTCCACGGGAAACACGGTGTTTCCGACGTTGGAACGGCTAGGTGCCGCTAGATGCCAAGGAGGAAGAGAACAAGCACACCGCCTGGCAATCTCGCTCCGCGGTCCGCCAACTGAGACAGGTCAGACAGTCCTAACAGACGGGATCCGGTCTTGCTGTTCCTACAGTCTGGATGGGTCTTCGTGAATAATCGTACGTAACAATGGCGAATCATACATGACAGCTGTACGCAAAGCTGGCAGACAAGCCGTGATTACCAGCCGGAGATAGAGGAACGATTGCGCTTCGACGATTGATCCATCATTGCACAACGCCTTCTGTCGCTGGGCTGTGTTTCAAATTAAATTCCAGGAGACTGCATCGATCGACCGTCTTAAGCCAAATATAATTCGAAAGCTTTATAATAGAATGAGAAACATTGAAAGTCGGAATGGAAGAAAGAGCGGTTGCTTGGAAAAGATAGATTCATGAAAGAGAAAACAACGAGATTCGTGGATGGTACGAGGTTGATTGTAATTAACGCAGAAAAACTACTGCATCTGGTTCGGTGGAAATGCGGCCATGACGCCTATGGCAACATCAGAAGGAACTGATAGATGGCATGTAATCTTCAGTTCCCTATCTCGGGACATACCAGTGAATAATTATACGTAGGTAACACCAGGGAGACAGACTATGACAGCTTCTGTTACGTTGAGTCTGTCGGTTAGGCAACTACTGCGTTAATTATGCTAAAGTCATGAGACAGTAATAATCACCGAATTAACCAGCCCTACACTTTCGTTGGTGGTAAAATTTTGTCCCTTCCTACTGCACTATAAGTTAATTGTGTGTAATTAGATAATGACTTTAATTTCATAGAGCGAGGGTATCTACAAAAATGAAACATGAACAACCGTCAGCGTTAATTATACTCGGACACCTGCCTCGATGCGGGCACTTGGCACGTTGATTAGTAAAACTGAATTGTTCGCGTAACGCGTATTACCCGCGATTATTCGTCTTAATTAGTCAGTGGACGAGAATTAATTCCCTTCGCAGCGTTTCCCGCGGGTCACATTCTTGCGGCAGGGATGTAAAGCATTTCTGGCTCTTGCAACACGAGCCACTCCTCGGGCCGCCAGTTTGTCCCGAGTTTCGAGAGAACACAGATTACATTAAACAACATAACGAGTTGACGTATCTTCCTAATTAGCTGGCACGGACACTTTGCTTTTGTCGAAGAATCCTATTTCCGCGACAAGGGCCATACGAAACAATTACACGAGAACGCAGACAATTACGCGATGGCGGGCGAAACTTTCCTGTACGTTATTATCGAGGTGTGAACAGGTTCCTGAATACATGGAGACGAATGAGGTTAGACTTTATAAAAGCAGTTTTATTTGCATATATTCCACCTAAAATAGACACACACGGATTGTAGCTAAATAAAACATTTTATTTTCGATAGTTGTAGCACTGATTAATTCGTAGACGTATAAATAACCAATAAGTAATTCCTGTTTTGAAAGATGGAGATGTTGCAATAGAGGACTAAGGAACGTAGCCTTGAATAATCCAAATCATTACATCCTTCGACAAGGGAGCTTATCAAGAAGGATTATTCTATAGATTATCAGGAGTTCCACAATTTCCTAACTATGTATAATATCTAGCTTCCCAAGTATAAATAACCATGAATGCCACCGCAGCAAATGTGCGGGATACTTAATCCTAAACAGAGCGAAGGAATCACGTTCGCGTCATAAACCAATTCTGACCATTCCGATTGCGTGTCCTCGAATCTACCAAACTCTGTAACACAATGCACGGAAAAATCTTGTTTCCGTAATCAAACAAGCAACTTTGATTCTCGCGTTGATGTAACGCGGCCAACAAAGCTCGGAGCATCCGAAACTGCGGGCATTGCGGCCAGCAACTGCTGGAAAACTTTTCACAAGCAAACGGAATCATCTGGGAATTTAACGCAACCACGCAAGCCGCATTTTCGCGGTGGTCTGCTCAAACGATAACGCGCGATGTACCAATGTAAATTTACGGAATTTCCGTAAACGTAGCCAGCAATCGTTCTTTCACGAGGCCACGCCGAGCATACTCCATTCTTCGGTTTTGCTTGTTTCTCTGGATTTCTACTCGGCGAATAGGGGATTCGGAACGTTGAAACGTACACAGCCTGGTCTGTGTTTCCACTAATCATTAACCTTCGTAGACTCGTGCACGCACACGTATAGAACACTGACTATTCTGTTTATTTATAGGTACCATCGCGTGTGTACGTGTGCGCACAGAAACGGGCGAGAGGTTATCAAGCGAAACACTGTGAAATTATTTCTGGTCTAAAGGGAAAGCTGGATAACAAACGGAAGGAATTTCGCGTTGCTAAGCTTCGCCCTCAAGAATTAGAAACTCGCTACCTTTCGTTGCCTCGAATTTTCTTGGGAAATTCATTTCGCAACAAACAAAGCCGTTGATTCCCTCGCGAGGAAGAGGAGAACATTCCGCGGAATACGGCGCAATGCGTGAATAATTTCGCGCAAATTTTCTTTGCAATTTTCTTTTAATGTTGCTATTTACTTTATAACGGGTTAGACACCGTTTAGAGAATTCTCAATTGAAAAGTTCGGGCAATCTTTGCCAAATGTCGCAATTTTCCTGTGCTGGTACACGTGGTGGAGAAATACAAGGGAAACGGAACTGGACATCGCAGGTAGGGACGGTTTACGTTGCGTGTACCTTGGGGAAATGTGTTCAGGTTAATTTCACGGTTGGACATCGACGGGGAGGCCACCATCTCTACCGCGGACCATTAAGATCATGACACGCCACGCTACCACCTAATATATTTTATTCGATCCTGGTGTTCCTGGAGAATTTGGGTGATTAAATTTAACGAGGGGATGAAGACATTACCCTCGCGTAGGGGATTATGTGCTCGTTGGTAAACGGGGCTTTAGCGTATCGCTTGAATGAAAATAAGCGACGCCCGCGCCGTATCGACGGCTGCCATCAGCAGAGGGTGATTTTTTTACTCCCCGTGGTCATTCTTTTCGCATGGTAAATTAGTAGCATTTCTAACTCAACATATTGGCATAAAGAAAACACTAAAACATGTACACATGACATTAACGCGGTACAGTTATCTTCAAAAAAACTGCGCAAATACTTTTTCGAGCCAATATAATTCTCAGTTTACTCTACCAACCGCGGTTTTACGAATAACGCGTTTCACGGAAAAAGAACCAGCGGGAACCATTTCGCAATTTCGATTCCAAACGAACTAGGGGAACGCGATTTCGCTCGACTAATCTTCCACTAGATCCCGGAGCACGCGCACGAAAACCGATGTTCCCTTTTCGAAAAATAACGCAGCCCTTCCCATTCGAAATTCGTTGGTGAGACCTGGGGGAAGATCCACGCATTAAGGACATACGTGACGACGCATCCACGGGACCTCGCGGAGTTCGGTAAACAGGCGTCGTTGCATAATTTTTCCAGATAGCAGCAGGCACGTAAAACGAGCCACGGAGTGGGAATCGTTGAGTGAATCTGATAATTGAGCTTTATGCAGTCGCACGTCGGTATAAATCCACGAAAATAAGGCTAATGTAACGCGTCTCCGCTCGTCTTACATTTTCACGGTGGGGCGAAGGTGCGCGAAAGATGATCGAAACGGCGAACATTTCAGAGTTCGGCACAGTGGATGAACATTACCATGAGATTTTAATGCGCGGGATTTACCCGCGCAAACTCTTTTAAAGAGAGATATAAACCAGCGCAGCCGCTTAAATTACTATGCGTTAAACGATGGAGATAGCGAAGCTTTTGCGATGGAGTCGACCGAGAGTGTATTATTACCATCACGGTCGTAAAGTTTATTAAAACAACCGGTATACGGGCTGGCTGAACGTTACGAAGTTTTCGTTCAATGTATTAAATTTTTACGAGACGTTATACGCGAGAGTAATGCGCTTAAATTATTAAGTACCCGCTGGCAAAGGTAATCTATTTTGTAATGGTGTTGGCTGAGAGTAGGGGTATGTATATACGGCAAGCGTGTTCGTCGGAGATTAACGAGCACACAACGAACAATTGGTAATTTATTAAGCTAAAGCGTCGTTCCGACATTAACCTGAGAGCTAAGACATACAGGACGGTGCCTTGTTAATAATTCAGATGCCCTACAATTGACCACTTGCTAATATCCTCCTTTCAGAAATTCTAATTCATGCAGATACAGGTGTGTTAATCGAATAACTTAGGTCGCGAAGAGTATCGATTCGTCACATCCACCGTCTGGCGCACAGCAACACGGACCCGCAACATAGCATCGCGCAAAAGTAGGTTAAAATCGGAGACGGACGGATCGAGTCTTTCGTTTATTAGATCCATGCACTTTAGGAACCTCTTGTCCCTGGAAAAGTTCAACGGAAACGATGTTCTATATCGGAATTGAGTTAATTACAACGTATCGATACCAGCGAGCGCTTAATGAGCAATTTTATCCGGCTAATAAACGGCGGAAACGAAGCGAAAGAAAGAAATATCGGGAATAATGAGATACGCTTCGTCTCGGGGGCGTGGACGGCGAATCGGTGGTGGAACGAGCTCGGTAAACTTTTAATAGAGTCCGTTAATCTTTTCGACAAAATTTAATTCGCATTCGTCGCTGAACGGGGCACGAGCTGTGGAAATAGCTTCGTGCCTCGTTCGCTTTCAATGGACTCGACTAATCGAATCGCGCCATTCAAACCGAACGGCCGTTGCCTGATTGACGACCTCGCACAGAGGTAATCGCTCAATCGAGGAAGACAAGCTAGTCAGGTGAATCGGCGCTATCTTCTTACTATTTGGTTCGAGTCCAAATCTCGAGAAAAATCTCTTCGAAGCATAACCTTAGATGGATTGGTCACGATTCGAGCTTGTTTTTCGATGCATGTAAAATTAATAAATAAGAGACCAATATCTATGATAGCGTCGCAAATATCGGACGGAACTTTCTATACAATTTTATCCGCCTTAAAAGCTCGATCAATAGTCCTATTCGATAGCAAAGTCGTCCCAGAGACAATGGTCTTGAATCAATCGCCCCCGGTAGTTAAGGATCATCGTGTTACGATATCGAGAAATGGCTAAATGAAAATGATAGACCACGTTAGAGGATCCTCAGTCGCCTCGTCAAGAAAGTACAGTTCCCAGGCAGAGGAGCTAGGATCAATTCGATGCGCCGCTGCGATTAGATATCAATCCAATTCGTTCGTGACGTTGATTGCCGAGATCGATAAATACGACAATAATGAATCTCTCGAGGGCGAGTTTATCTGCGGAATTGAATCACGATAGCGAATCAATCACCTCGAACGTGGCACGATAGGGGGATAACGCATCGAGGAAGAGACAGCCCCTGGATATCGGAAACAATTGCCTCTTTAAATTGCTAGTCCAATTAAAAAATACGGTTCGCCAAATCGTTAAAAATTCATCGAAAGGAATCCAGGCCATCATTCGGATGGTACAGCCAAGCTGTTCGACGGCTTAATTAATTGCAAATATTGCGATGCGTTCGATTAAAATTGTGTCCTCTGTCTTTTTTTTTTTTTTTTATTTTTTTTTTGTTTAAAGCTGTTTTGAAAATTGAAACTAAAGTGAACAAGAAGTAAACATTTTGAGACGTAACATTTTGATATTACTTTTACGATTTCAGCTGGTGGGTGACGTTAACGCTAGCGACATCATCTGAAAAGGACAAAACGGAGCAAACGGAAGAGCACGAAGGTCGAGGGAAACCGGCCCGTGCGACGGAAGAATGCCACGACAAAATTGTATTGGATAGAGGAGGGACGTCTCCGCGATGGCAACGTCACCGAGGGCGAGCTCGAGTAGGACGAGATACAAGAGGGTACGGGAAACGAACGATATCCATTCTCATTCCTCCGTGGGGAGTGAATGTTGTGCGAACGAACCGCAGCGAAGACGCGAATACCAATGCACTGGGTACGTAGCTCTCGGTAGGGGTTGGCGTGTTACGCTTGCAACCCCGTACACCGGTTTACATTCGCGCCCGTGTACACGGCGGCTGCACGCCTGTTTTGCACCGCTGTTACCGCGTGCTACGTGGCCCGCGTAGATTTACGTCCGTTTTATTGCCGTCGCTGCGGCATACTTCGTTTTACGGAATACGGGCGAGGGTACGTCGCGCGCGGATTTTCGCCACACGATGGAATTTCGTTATTTCCAACCGGGAAGCCACGAACGGGGTCGTTCCGCGAGCGTCACCGTCATTGGAAAAGTCTGGATGCATTATCCGTGAAAACGCCCCGACGCGTCTCTCCGAACGACTCCGTCACTCTGATTCATCTAGTCGCGATTAAACGTAACGTCGAGCAGCGTTTTGTTACGGGTGTCGGCTGAACAAAATTTAGGTTCTTTTATTCAAACTAAAACCGCCGTACGCTAAAGCGATGTACAATTTTCATGGACAAATCGAATTCGGAATTTACCATATTTCCACGCAACAGAAAAGTTCCGAGAGTTAGTTTGACGTTTAGCCGTGAGAACCGTTAGAAGTTTTCACCGTACATTGTTAACGGGCTCGGAAAATACAGTTTGAAACACGAATTACCCTTCAGGCGAGCGGAGGAACCGTTGAACGCGCGTCCTCGATATGCAAACGTTCGATTAGACGGGCGTGAGATGTATCAAGTTTAAATTGTATAATGCTTGTTTTGTAAAACGAGCCTCCATCGTACGATAACGACAGTAATGATAATATGTAATTCAATTAACGTACCTGGCTGGCACGGGATTTGCCCGTTCGAGTTTCGTACTCCCAAACTATCACGTGTACCTCCCTATTCAGTTACCCCCCTGGTATACATCCGATTCCCACCGACGCATACACCTGTAGCCGCCAGCGGTGTTTTCTATGTACCGTGCAAACATACATTTTTTCATTTCGCCGCTTTCTAATAACGCCCGCCGGATACGTGAATTCTAGTTTGTTCGAATGTTCCTGGCGGCACAAAAAGAGGAGGGAAAAAACACGAAGCGAATAATTAAAAATAAGCTGCTTCGCGATATAAATCCGTTCCTCGAACTTTAATTCGATTCACGCCACTTTTCTCTGGCTGAAATCAAGCTAATAGCTAGTAGGAATCCTGCTACAGACGAAAGAATTAAAAAATTGTGGTTAAGTCATTGTAATAAGATCTTTAGATATAAGAATAAATGTTACGTCCTATCCATACTCTATAAAGTGATATTTTTCGAAAAATGTTTTAACGAATTTAAAAATTTCGAGTGACCGCCCTCTTATAATTTCGTGCAGTTATGAACGAGGTACGATGTTTATATAAGTAGAATATTCAGATTTTAGACTTTGCGGTCTCAGTTGTTTCAGGCTTTCTAGCCTGGCGCGTACCTAACCAGCCCACTTGTGGCTTTCGCGAAAGTTTCTCTTTAACGCGTTCCAAACAAATATCCCTTGGTGCAACACCTTTCATCTGGCTTTTTTTTAGACGTCTCTTTATCGCTCTGGCATAAACGTTGACTGAAATATCATGCGCCTAGTGGTAACATTTACTAAGCCTTTAAAGAATTAACCACTTGTTAGATGAATACATACCTGGGTGTTCCTGGTGTACCCGTAGCCCATGAACCTTTCGTCGTGAGGTGGAACGATATCTCTCGCGACGTAAAAAGGTTCGTAAAGGAATTCAAAATTCGTCACGTCGTGACTGATGTAAACCTTGCCACTCTTCACGTTTCCAAAATATCTATGGTTCGGGGAAGCGTCCAGTGTCCACCTAAAATCAACAAATAAAAATACATTGACCATAAATTATCTGTAATGATAATATATCGAAATACACAAAAATATTTCATATCTCGAGGTCAAAAGATCATGCCTCCGAATAATCTCGAAGAAACCCTACCTGGTAAAATTGGTGGCAAACTGATTGTGGATGAAGACCTTCTGGTGAAAAGGTCTAGCCAGCCCTTTCCTCGCCAGCCTGACCAGCTCCGTTTTATTCTGAGGAAATCTCACGCGCGAGTCCAGCTCGTACGTCGGTATCACGTAGGCGCACTTATCACAGCTATCGGTCCTGAGGAACTCGTCCAGCGCTCCCGTCAAGTTGAAGCTCGGCACAATGTCGACGTCCGTCAGGAACACGTAATCGGACTGACAGTTCTTTCTGGCTAGATTTCTCATATGATTCTGTGGATAGACGTTGCGTATCCGCCAGTTCATCTGCTCGTTCGAAATTCCGTTCATCAGCTCGTTCAACGTTGCTTCCGGTTTGGCACAATCCACCGCTTCTGGCAGCTCGTAGTCGCGCGGCTGCTTCTTTGGCGGTCTGACCCTTGGCACGGCCAAGGAGAAGGTGATTCTTTCCCTAATCGGTTCGTAGCATTTTCTAAGGTACACCAGGTACTTCTGAAGAACCTCGAACTCTTCGTCGCCAGCCACGTAGAGAGCCACCGACATGGGCCCTGTCCAATGATGAGCTGCTTGAACAACTGAGTGCAACTTCTCCACCGAGCTCTGCGTGGCCAAGCATACGCGATACGTTTGCGACAACTCGAGAAAATTACTGCCCACCAAAACGTGATCGAAGGTACGAAACAATCTACGGGCGTCCCATCTACCCAGCTTTATGTTCAGCTTCAAACTGCTCGCGTCAACTACCAGTGGCTGATAATCTTGCGTGATGCAGTCTGACTGCTGTTGCTGTTCCTTGATCAAGGTACCGAGGCTCCACTCTGTTATAGCGTTTATGGCTTCCAAATCTCTGGGCACGTCGTCTGGGATGCAGGTCTCCGACTGCAGTAGCAGGAATGTCAGCAACATGTTCGAAAGCGCCAGGATAACCACGCTGGTCAAACTGAGGTTCCATGGTCGGCATCCCAACTGTAAACAAAAATTCGCATACTTTGTTTCAATGGTATTTGCATAGAAAAACATTTAAAGTGCTAAATTTATGAAATATCTTTGCTTCGTGCTTATTACTCGGAACTTTGTATAATCGTTTCACCGACAAAAATCATATAACGGTTAGTTCATCGTAAAACATCGCGCGAACAAGTTTCACGATAAGAAACCAAGTCCCCCGGCAACAGCGTATTTGGTCTGTCTAAAACAGAGTTGGTTGCTTGTTTTATTGCTCTAATTACCACGTCGTCAGTTTCTTGCTGTCAGAGGCAATGCAAAAATGAAACACCGAACTCTGGTAAACTGTTAGGGGATGTTAGTCTAACTTTAACCGGCTCTACAATTATCGAGATCTTCTTTGCTTTGTTACGGTCATTGGAGAACTAATCCAGTTGTTAATTATACAGACCAATAGTCTCAAACGTTCGCACATATTCTTGATGAATAATGAAACGTCACGTTATACTTCAAAGTGCTCCAGTGTTTCTTTGATAGTGAAGTAGTCTTTGCATGAGAAAATAGAGAGATCTATCGAACAAATGTGTTCCTCGGCAAATTTTCCTTACAAATACACGAAAACTATTCCGTCTAAGGAGAGAACAAAGTTAAGACTCGAAAGTGAATAAAACTACGTTCGCGCTAAACTCGTGTTCAACTGTCTAACTCGATCACCTGCAGTGCGATGAGAATTTGCAAACAATATTACTTCGTTGGTCGTCACCTAGTCTTTCAAACATCGAAACTTGTCTCCGTGACAGAAATAATTCTCCTCCAACGTTTTCTTCCTTTGTTTGACGATATTAGATATCGCGATGAAACTTAAAACAGAAATAGAAATGCATCCGGAAAGCCTTGACCGACTTACGGGAAAGAGCATCGATCGCATTAATATCGCACATAGACACGATTGATCATACTTCCGGTGATTCGAGCCAGTCGATGTCTGTTTCAAAGGAAATGCGTCACAGAAATGTGTACGGACTTCACCGGATCAAAGTTACTTTACAAATGCGTTTGTTTTTTGTAACTTGGGTTACCAGTTGCAATAATCGAAATAAATGTTTAATTACGAGTAAATTAACCCGCAAGTATGGCCTACGTATTCCGAGTTAAACGACTCTGGCAATAAAAATTTCGCGTCTCGGAGGATGATATACAACGAGGTCTGAAATGACTTCTATAAAATTGTATTTCAAGGAAGGAAAACAATAAAACAGAACGCATATAAACCCACAGGGGCCGACGGGTTTAATGAAGTTCTACTATGTAAATAGTGACTTTTCCTTGCGCGGTAAAACTTCATTAGACCTTCGGTCCCGGTGGATTTTACGTTTACCGGTATGAAAAAAGGAGGAAGTAATTAAAACAATTACTGCGTGCAGACAACTACGACGACGTATCAGCGATATTAATGGAGTAATTAAAATGCAGCTTTGAACAAAATTTAATTATCTAAAAATATAGAATATTTTTCCAAAGAACAGTTTCGCGAACAATTAGATTTCTAATTTTTTTTCTTCGTTCCGCTGAAATTAACGCAATGAGAGGCTGTATTAAATAAATTTTCAAACGAGTGTGCAATTTCCGTAGAAACGCAGCAGTTTAATTAAATATTCGAAAGTACTTTTATTTGTACTTATGCATATTCTTATTTCTCGCATGGTGCATAAAGTCGTCAAATAGAACGAACAAAGGTAAATTAAGTAGCTATACAAAGGTGGTGTCGAAGGCTAATATTCCAAAACAAATAAGACCTTAGAGTGTACGCAGCCGATTTGCTATCGAAATAGAGTTCGCAGCTGCATAAATGGCTGAAAAATAAGAATCGCGGCGACGGACCGCGACGCTCGTAATAATAGCGCAATTACGGTGCTAAACGGAAGAAACTGATTGTAGGTATTGTGAAGGAGAGACCAAAGTGCACAGCAGAACTCCCGGCGGAATCCACTGAAATTTCGCTTGAAAACAACAGTTAGAACGATAATGGATCGTACGATTTCCCAAGGCCCGTTAAAGTCGAGCTCGTGTACAAGGTACGCGGCGCCACCTCCACAGCCGGAGTATTTAACTAACAAAATAGTTCACGCCTTTGACAAGATAATCGGAACTTACAATAGCGTCTTTATCGAAACCGCGCGAAACAACGCGTAAATATTACACGAGTAATGGTACTCGCACTATACGATCATATAGACAGTTGGGAACTAAAGAGAATATTTCTGGAAGGAATGCCTCGAATCCTACGATCGCAGATTACAAATGAAAAATGCGAGCAAACGCGAAACTGAAATTATAATTATTAGTAGATTAAAATTCTTAGTAGCGGCTAAACAGCAACGCAGCCGCGTGTGTGTTCAGCCTCTCCACAGGTGTGGAGCGCACTTCACCATTTATAAGTCGCAGTCTCGGTACGTATGCGGTCCTAAGGTAGAAAAAAGAAAGAGGGGAAGAAATGGAGTACTCGGTGCGTCCGTTGCAAGTTGAGATTTTTACAAGCCGAAACTAACCTCCCGTAGAACTGTGCACCGTACTGTAAAACGCGAGGAAATTCCTACCGCCCTTCGTAGTACCTGAAGCTCGAGAGGCGTTTCCGTCGCGTTTACGCAGACGTATTAACTTATTCTGACGCGACGCGGAAAAAAGGGGGATTAGAAGACTGAAAGGAGAAAGGGAGACAGACGTCTCCATATTTAGCTTACCGTATTTATTTGCGTGCTGCGCACCGGAATATTCATTTGCATACTATTAACTGTGACGAGCCATAGGGGTGCTGACCTGTGCTGACGCGTATCGAGTTAACCGTCACGATTTCTACTAAAATACATACCGAGCCGTCAAATAATGAATACTTGTAAACACCTGCGAATAATAACTTTCGAGGGTTTTCACATAAAAATTGTATCTGACAGATTTAATTAAATTTAACGGGTTTAATCAAATTCATCGAATGGAATTTAACGTTTGATCCGGAGAGTACAAAAAAGAAATGATCTTCCTCTACCAAAAGAAATTTGAGATATATTACTGCGCTCCTACTTTTGAGAGAAGACAAGTCACAGAGGCTCCCAAACATTTTCGTTCAAACACATTCGTCTACCGACACGTACCAACATCCTTTAACAAGGTAAACAAGTGGAACGAAAACGTGTGTTCAGTTGAAAGGATAATGTTATCCACCCCCGATCTTCTCCATCTCGAGAACATGGCACCGTAATGAGCTAGGGGGAGGAAGAAACAGGAGAAAGAGCATGATTGATTATGCAAACACGTTGTTATTACTGATTCAGTGTGTCCCGTGTGCGCCCGCGTGTACAACAGCCAGGCAAATGTGTGCACGTTACACAGCTAACCCATTATCAAATTGTGTACTTGGGCTTTCGTTAGGTCACACACGAACCACAGGGGCAGGCTTTGTCGGTATCGAGTGTACGATGCAGGACGAAGGCTTGAAAGCACGATTCGCCATACTTGTTCCTCTCGTATGTTTTCGAGCGGAACTCTATCCTTCCTGTAATCGCGATTCCAGCGTGTAACAAACGGTGCGGAGAATGCGTTTAACGACCCCAAAGCACGGCGTCACGCATCGACTCGCGTCAAATGATTTTTAACGCACCGTTCGACGATGTTTATCCTTTGAAGTCGATCCACGTCGTTAATAAAAAAAAAAGTAGGTGGAGAGGAAATACCAGTTTAATGGAGAGAAATAATTCAGCAATTTTGATACTCAAAAATAGTGACTCTGCCTCAACGTTGATTTAATACTATGCATCGATATCTACGATCTGTCTACAAATAATTCCCCTGTGTTATTTAGCACGGAATCATTTCGTTCGAATGGAAAATATAATCCACTATCGATAGCCTACAGGAGTTCGCGAACAATTAATACTTTCCTCTATTTTCCGTCGCTATATCACACCAACGCGGCAATCAACAACCCGTGCGTGGTGAAGTTAAATTTGCTTGGAAATCGCAGCGGATCGTCCATACGAAAAATTCAACGCGTTTCTCGACGATGAACGCAGACGTCGGCCTTCCTATCGGCAGGCACATTCGCATTGAGTTCGAGCATCCCTTGAAAACCGGTCTCAAAGGTACTGAATAGTTGATGTACACATCGAGTTTTTCATCCCTGACTCGCGATTTACGCGCTAAGACAGGAACGAAGAGAGGCGGATAGATATAACAGAAGGATGGGTTAAAGACCCGTCGCAGACTAGAAAGGGAGGAATACGGCTGCGAAGATCGGAGGCAGGGATAAAGAGTAAATTCCGCCTTTCAATTTTCCTACAGTCCCATTTTACTTCTAGTTCAGTGGCTGGATGCCGGTGCAACGTCGCCGGCAACGTAACTTAGCCCAGAATAAACTGAATACCATTCATTACGGCAACTCTCCCTTCGACCGCCATCATCCCCCAGTTCTTCCAACCTTTCCTGTTTCGCCACACTTCCCATCTTCATCCTTCTGGTTCTCGCGCACAAACGAAGCGTCGAAGGCGTCGGCGGCGGCGCTGAAAAGCTGAGAATTGGAAATTCTTTGAAACTCCCTCCTACCCCTTTCTCGGTCTTTTTCTTTCGCCGCGGCTGAAACGACGTAGCCGCCTCTATGGCCTCGGCCTCTCTCTACTCGAATACACTCGATGAAAGGGGTATTGAGTAGGAGATGCGGTTTGTGATAATAAACGAATCGCAGCCCCCTTCTTCCACGAGAAGATAAGCGAACGTGCGTATCATCGAACTCGCGGGAAACACCTCGGGCTGTAGCGATAGTTCGACGGAGATTTCGCGTCGACCCAACCTACGCCGACGTCGCGACACCACACCGCTAATTGCGAACGGTCGGTTCCGGATATACATAGAAGAAAAAAATAATTACTCGGCTCCGATGAGATCTCGAAAAGGAATTTCTTTTCATAGCTGGGGGTCAGGCATAACTATCGTAATCCGGATAGCACGAAAGCCACTTTTGTCGAGTGGTGAACCGCTGCAATTAAACGACTGCTCTCCCCAACTCTCTCGTTCGTCCCATGGCAGTCGTTTCGCCACGTTTATTTTCTTTTTTTTTTTTTTACCTCGGATTCTTCGTCGCTCCCGCTTCCTTCCTCTTCTTCTTTCGCTTCCTGTTCTTCTTGCGTCTTTACGCGATAATTAGCAGGTCTTCAATTTTCCCCCCCGGTGCACGTATTTGCTTTGCATAACTACCGAGATAATTAAACAAGCCGTGATTCTCAGATCTGCCACGAACAGGCACGCTTGGAACAGGAAGAAGCGAGGAAAAGAAGAAGTCTGGTCGCGAAAACACGCGTCCCCCATCCCCCCGTGCGCAAAACCCCGCGACTACCCTTCTTTCTGTTTTCTGGAAGTGTAAATCGTGTCAAGAGACGTCGCGCGTGCTTTCACGTCGCGTAATTAGCAGAGCTTTGTCGTGCACGGGAACTAAGTAGCGGACAGCGTTCCGCGGAAGAATGCTGAAGAAACAGTTGCCGCGTTTTGTTTCGCATGCTTAAATAGTGCCACGGGAAACGTCGCGTAAACAAGTGTACCTACGTTTGCGAAAGGTAACGCGTTCTTTGTGGAAAACCGAGACACGGGCCAAAGGACATAAGATAACGTGGCTGAATTGTTTGTTAGCTTAGGTAGCTATGTATATAGGAAGTGAGGCGTTCAAAAATGGTGATTGAGCATCTACTTCGCATATTTCTTCAGTGAGCACTTGAACCACTTTTTTTTAGTACTCTACGTATGAAAGTTTGGCAGTGAAGATCCTGGTATTGTTATTTCAACGTGACCAGGTACCAGGTTGATACGAGAAACAAAATATAAAATAAAAACAACTTTTAACTTTGGAGTGAAAAATGAAAAAAATTTAAGCTACACTCATACACGTATAATATAATATGAGCGCTTTTTAATTACTATAACGTCGCAACGTGGAACATATTTCAACGGATATAAAAATACACACTGATCTATCAAAAATAAACGCGTAACATATTTGCGAGCACATTTCGCAATTTTACGGTTAAATAACTGAAAAAACATACACTCAGCCAGTCACGGGAAAACGGTTGAAAATAAATAGTCGTATCGCCCGTCTAATGAAAGGCGTACATAATTAACTCCTCCCCGATGTGGAATTAAGTAAAATGCATCCAATTTAAGAACAGTTGTAGCCAGCTCCTAGTTTCTTGAACTCAATATACGCGAAATTCTTACGTTAACATAGATCGTTAATCCCCATCAACATTAATTTTAATTCGAGCTCGAAGCACGTCGGATATTCCTTTAGGAAATTTTGTCTCTATAAAATTCAACATTTTGTTGACCCATGATAGAGAAAAAAAATAAAACAACGTGCGAACGCAGTACTGTGCGCCGTAAAATGTTCATCGACGGTTTCGTTCGATTAAAAACATTGTGTCAAATTGGTCGAATAGCAAGCGAGCAGCATCGCGGTGAAAATAAACGAATCGCGTGACAGAAGCGTGGAATAGTCAGAGAAAATAATTCAACATGCGCTAGGAACATCAGACGAAGGTAGAGAGGGGTGTAATTCGACGTTATCGATTTGTATATCCGTCGCGTCGACCCCATTCAAAACCCTCGGAAACGATAAAACAATATACCACGGACGCCAGTCGAAAACACTTCGAAAATGTATTGAAAACACTCGAAAATGATTGAAATCAAACAAGTTACCGGACGAACAAGAGAAATTCTATCTATCTATCTACAGCAGCTACCGTTCACCGCCATCGGCGTGCGTATCCGATTGAACGAATCATTTCCGATATACGCACCTGCCGAGAGATACTATCTACGAGGTGGTTAAATTGCACGTATCGGAACTGACAGGGACTCGTCAAACGCTCCGTAATCTCACCACAAACTAACCGGTAGTTTGTCGACGACCAATGGTCGATCATCGATCGTAGACCATCGATCGTAGACCATCGAATTTCGACCAACTCATTTTTGCCAGATCAAGGTAAACTTGAGGTTTCACGGAAGAATTCGATTGGAAGCAAATGGGAGGAAGTTTACTAATTAATTCAAAGCACAGGACTCCCTTTATGGTCTACGAAGTAAAATGTAAAATTCATTGGAAATGAAGATAAAGAAATAGAATCGACAATTTCACGAGGACGTTTCGAAGCGTTAAAAATGCACTTCAATCGTAGAGATTTGTCTAAACGTAGCAGAAAATACGGACACGTTCCATAGAAGCTGTACATATTGAGATACGATATTCTCTTTTCCATGATCACGTGTGACACATCCAATATATCGGATACTTGTGATTTATACGTGGGCGTATCATGCTGCATCGATATTCTCAATAAAGAGTTGTGTTAACAAGAAGACCGATACTACACGCGGATGCATGTTGGATTTAGAAACAGTAGTAGGTATATATATGTATATGTTCGGGTTTCTAAAATTACTCATCGTCTGGATGTATTTACGGGTTCGATAATTGCGCAATTGGTCGCTGAATATCGATGCAAAGAAACGAATGAAAACATTAACCTACGTTCGATATATTCGCAAGGGTAATCGATGAATAAAAAGTTACGAGCAATTTATTTATTTCTCATTGACAATTTCGTTATTAGGCGTTTCAGTGTGTTAAAATATATGCAAGCAACTCAATTAGAGAGGTAAAATGCAGAAGGTTGTTAAATCAGTGGATAATGCTCGGCGTTTAAGGAACTCTATTTATGCACCGCGAGCGATTACTGTGCCGTCGACAATTATTTTGATAGCGAGTCATTAGGTAAGCTGCCATAACCATAATCTGATACGAAACTGCTACGAGCAGTGGAAGTCACGCATGGAGTTACTGGCTGCCACTCTTCCTTCTCGTGGAGGTTTATCGTTTATATTCGTATATATATATACGGATATGTAACGTGTGTAACAATTAGATGGAAACAAATTAACATTCTTATCATTAGTTAAATAGTTTAAACCATTGTCCAAGTGGCTACTAACAAATGGTAGCAACGAAGCAGAAAGATAATTTCCAACCATGGCTCCGTTTCACGTGTCGTGATTCGCGCGAATTTCCATTCTCATCCCCCGTACCGTGCGAACAATTTTCAATCTACCCTTATTGTGTCCGACTCGAGATGACATTTGCGCTTCGTTTCTGGCCGTAATTATGCAGCTGTATCGACGATAGACGACTATTCCGTTTCGCTCTCTGACCACAATAATTGGCATCGAGCATCAGGGACACACTTCGATACTCCTCATCCGTCCATTCATTAAGATCGCTTTCATATATGGCAATCCAGGGATGATTGTTTCCTCGCCCGGAGCGGCTCAATTAACGGCGCCAGGCTGCGCTAACACGTACGCGTATACGTATGAAAAGAGACGAATATGGAGACGGAAAGGGTGTAAGTAAAGAAGGAAGAGAGGAGTGTAGGGCAACGGGGTTGGTTGAAAGGGAGAGAGAGAAAGACAAGATAATTCTCATTGTTCAGCAGTGGACGCCCTCGAGGCGTCCGCCACTTCAAAGCCATTCGGCTCTCCGTAGCTCTCATCGAACCAGAGTCCGGCAGTTAATGAACTGCCCTTCGGCGTTGCAATGTACGTACGTACTGGTTGTCTAGGAACCCGGCCAAGTGCTGGGGAGAGACCTATTATCCATTTACATAAAGAGCCACAACGAGCCAGCTAAGGGTTTACGGTGCTCACTTAACCCATGAGAATTTTCGAGACCTCGGTTGGATTAATAGTATCTAGATTGGAGGAGAGCAACATTTTTTATGAAAAGGGGTGGCAGGATCAAACACGTGAATATATTTTCCGTTGCACAAGCTGGTCCTCGAGGCCACCATTTTGAATGCATGTATCAGCAGCGAGGATATAAGTAAGTAAATCTATACGTGTATGGATATATGTGTATGTATATAACGTGTCTTTTAGCTTGAAAGGTTGCCAGCCCGTGTACCACGACGAAACGTCGATAAAACCTTGATACCGACGCTAACACTTATCAATCTCGAAAGCCTTTCTCACCAACGTACCTCCAAATTTATCGTAACGCCACGTGTAAAACTCATTGAAAAAAAGTTTGCATTAGATCCGCTACTTTCGTCACGGACACCGTCACAAGAGGATCTAAAAGAAGAGACCTGAAAAGTGGAACCATGGAGGGGACTAAGCAACAAGGTCACGCAGAGAGGGTGCGAAGATACGAAGCCACGTGAGCGCAGTGACATCGTTCACCTTACGACCCCCAAGTGGCGACATCTCGCACGCGATGGTCGTTCGCTCGGCGACCGATGCACGACAACATTCAGCCACAAGTTCACCCCCGTGAAATAGTTACGTATCGACGATCGATTTCGCGCAACGACGATAACGAATAAATTACGAATCGTTTAAAGGCTCTGAAACGTCACTCACCTGAACCATTGATGTGTATTGACACGCGAGACAGACCTCCCCTCTTGGCGGCAGTCTGATGGCGAAATCAGTCTGTGCCAACCTCTGTCGTTGGCCTCGCACCCCGTACATTCAACATATCAAACCGCGCACAACACACCTGCACCCACGTGAGCACCGTTTGCGTCACTGTCACGACCACGCCCACGAGGTACGGGACCGTTTCTTATAACCGGGGACGATGCCTCGTGAGAACAAAAAAATGCGCGCGTTTGTTTACGCCTATGCCGAAACGGTGACAGTCTACGCGAGCGCGCGCAGCCATCGTCAGAGGCGCCACGGGCGCGTTCTCCGGCACGCATGTGCGGCTGTTGGGAATCGATTATTTCCAACGCTCTTCTACGGTCAATCTTAATCCGTCCGCGATAAATTTACTCGAGATACGTTGCTAATTTCTGCATACCAGCTCCAGCGCAGTCGGTTGCGTTTTGAGTACTTCGGATTTCTTACGAGTATGCCAACTTCCGCGCCCGCGTCCAGAGCCACCTTGTGCAGGTGCGCAGCTTGTACACCGCTCTGGAGGTTTAATCGACTATGGGATATTAATCGCTTGAATCTTGACATTTTTTTAATGTTCGAGTATTTACTATATCAGTCACGTCTCCAAACATTCATCGCACAATACGGATCACGTGTGAACGAATCTCCAAAATGAATACTTCCATGGAACTCCTCGTTTCGATTATCCTTCGAGCCAAGCCGACTCCGCTGAAACGTCTAGCCAACGAGTGGCGTGGCATTTAAAGCGGCGGTTAACAGTGGACAGGTGTTATCGTATTTACACGAAACACCGGTTCCGAGGTATCCTTAAGATAACGCGTTAAAACTAGAACTCGATAACAACACTCCGCCACACGGAAATTAAATAGCCGCAGCGGAATCCAACTTTCTGACAGTAGCTGCCCGCTGCATTCGCGCAGTTCGCTAAAAATTTCGCGAGATTATTACCGGAGATAATTAGCCAAGTTCAGTTTTAACGGCAGACCGTTTCGGGAAGGAACGCGATTCGCACGAGTTCAAAATTGTTTTTATAATAACAGAAGATACGCGCGCTTGTTTACCTATTCATGGGAGCGCTCGCGATACACGGGGAAGGGGAGTGGAATGGAAGAAGTGTTCGCAGTTCTTGATCCCTCCCCTAGCCCTCGAAATTCTTTCTCCGCGGATAATCCGGCGGATGATCGCGGATAAAAACGATCCTCGTCGGTTACGTCCGCTTCGCTGAGCCTCGCCGCGACTCAGAGTACCTGGCAGAGAGCTAGCCAGGCCGCGAGATGTCAAAAAGCGTTGAATAATTTCTGAATTCACCGAGACTGGATGGCAGGTCTATGCATTCCCTGGTGTGCCGTACGCTCGAGTTGTCCGTGCGTACGTAAAAGTGTGCGTAGTCGTGCCTGGTCAAATGTATAATACAACCCGTAGGAGTAACTGGAAGCACCCCGACGACCACACGAGTTTGCCAGAAGGATTCCAAGATAACATTCGAATGAATAAGTCACCTCGATGGAATTAAGTTTAAATGTTTCATCGGTCGCCTCATCTCCCGGGTGCTACGGTGTAATTTATTTACAAAAGCCTGGCGTAGCGGCAACCATAGCAAGGATCCCCAACACTCTTGGAATCTCTACTTTATCTAACGGTAAGGATTCAAGAGTCCTTTCATTCGAGTCGCAATAGACCATTCGTCTTCGTAGTGTCCCAAATTGCTCTATTACTAGACAAATTTTTCTTGGTTCGTGTTTATTTGTTTCCTTACTTTCAAAAAAACGCTCCAAGCATCGAGATCCACTGGTGTCCGACCGAAGACATACCCCTTGGGTCATAAAACGACCGCGTCTCGACGATACGGTAGCCGACAACCAAGAAAAACGATTTAACTCGAGAACTTGATGCAAGAATCTTGGATCGGAAGCAGCTGGAAAAAGATGGTGACTAGCGAACGTAAGGATAAATAGACAAAAGTCGATTAATGCAAATGGCTCGACAACCGATTTAAATATCGAGTTTTTCCTGGAACGTTCCCCTTAGAGAAATGGAAATTTGCGGCGGATTGATAGTGCAAGTAAGGTAGGGGTGGAGGAATTACGTTACTCAGTCCCCGTAGACGAAATAAAAATATCGGGAAATCATGTAATTTTAAGATATATAGGGTGCCTTGAAGCGTAACCTCGAATAGTGTATTATATGGCTTCCATTGCGTTACATTTATTTGAACCAGTTTTCATTGTTCGATTTAGATAATCCATGATTTCTTTGAACGAGGATTAAATAATGTCCGAGGTCGTTTCGAATGTAGTCAAAGGCAGGGCGCTCGGTTTATAATACGGTTCACCATTTCCTTTTCATGAAGATGACGTTGCCTTAGGGACTCTAAATATGAATCTTCAATGACATCGCGCGACTTGGAGCGAGAATTGAAACTCGACTTGCGCTCGAATTTTTTAGACTCGCTCGACGAAAATATTTTACCGACGTCGACGTTTCTCTTGGAATACTTGTTACATTTCTTGGCGCTATTTTTTGGAAGTGTCTCCGCGTCTTCGAATATCGTTGAACAGAGAGAATCATCTCGCGTCTGCAATAACGTGAATTTCATTCGTGAAAATAATATCCTCGGTTATAAAAGAAAAGTAAGCGAATGAAAAAAAGGGAGATATGAAATTTTTGTCCTGTTTGAAAATTCGGGACAGCTCTGCATCGAAGTCTAACGATCATTAACAACCCGGCAACGTTTGGAACAGTACAAAGCATTGGGATTGCCACGGTAGTTGACAGTATTTCAGAAAATATAGCAAGAATCCACTTGTCGGACAATCGTACAAAGGAATACCAAGAAAAGGATGATCGTCGAGCGCTGCGAAACGGTAAGAACTCTTGATTTACCTTTGAATCGGCATCCAAATCCTTCAAAGGAGGCAGAAAGCACTTCTGAGCCATGACGTGCTTCGACTGTGGATACAAAGAAGTCGATCGTTTAGAAGTCTTTTCGTAACGAATCCAAATAAAATACAAAAATAATATTCGCCATACTAAAAAATGATTTAAACACGTGATCGATTCAAATTTTAAAATATTAATAGAATTTTACTATTTTCACAGAATGGCGCATAAAAAGTTAACTACGTATACATGATTGTATCGTAAGAAAACTGTAAAAAATACTATCGATGATGTGTACATTATTCTAGCCCAAGAATGTTCGTTGGTACTACCCTTAGGTCGCAATACATCCTCCCTAGGGCTCTCGCGCTCCACTTGGGAGACGCTATTTTAAAGTCACGTAACTCATTGTCGGTTGCATCCTTTAAAAGTGCCACGTGACACGCTTCTCGAGCACGAGATTATTTCGAAATAGTTTACCCCTTAAAATTTCGCTATACCGGAGTGCCGCGAAAGCAAGCCGTTCCCGAATTCCTCTGCAAATTGTTTTGCGGTGACTGGTGTATTGACGCAATGCGATGGAACGAAGAAAGTTCCGGGCAAATATGCATAAAGGGCGTGACTCGTTGAAATTCAGGCCGCGATTATCGATACCGAGGCAGCAGACAGATGAGAACGCAAGCAGGGGCCACTCTCGGAAGGACGAAAGTAAGCAAAATCTAATTCCGGTGGCGGTAGGCGAGTCACGGGACCAAAGTCCCCCTTTCCACAGATGTAACGTAGGTTTATCCACGTGTAGAGAATTCTGTGCCTTCTCTCACCCTCGTATTCTCGGTTCCTGTCTGTCCTTGTGGTAGTTGCGGCCTGCAGTCCTCGCTTTGTGCATATAATTGGATTTAGGTTCGGATACCGAGTCTCTACTTCGCCCAGCGGCATCCGTGCGCCGACCTTCGTCCTTTTCCTGCGTTCCACGCCGTTCGCGTCTTATGATTAGATCTAATCCGACCCAACGGTTAAGGACTAATTTTGCATACCGCGTAACTACAGACGACTACGTGATAAGACCAGTGTAATTAATAAACTGTGAAACGCGTTCGCCACCCGTCTTAGCTTTCTGGACGCGTCGGGATTATTACGACGAAAATTTGATCACTCTTGCGGCGACACAGGACTACGACGCCGACGCCGACGCCGACGTGTTTTCGCGATGGACACGTTCGTGGTACCGCGCAACGTCTCCATTCTCAAATTTCAGGGCAAATGTTTCGCCCACGCGCGAACCTAATTCGGACAAAAATCTTTCTCTAATTATTCAAGACACATAATATTCCGCCAATCTTGCCAAAGCTGCCCCAGCTGATATTGATTTTACAGCTTTTACGGAAGAGAATCTAATACGCGATCGTAAAGGGACTTGGTTAGCCATAAAATTTTATTATTTGCTATCAAAAGTAATGATAATACCCGTACAGCCAGTAAAATATTCTAATAACCAAGCCAGTAATTAAATTAAAAAATAGAAGAGCACTATTCGAATGGATTAAAGATTACAGCGAGATTCTGCGATGTTGAGGATGCTGTAAGGATCGAAAGAGCAAAACATGCGACGGAGGGGGAAGATACAACCAGCAGCGAATGAGAAAAAGATGATGCGCGGCATTGTTAACGCAGAAAGGCTACGTATATAATTAATTTCATTTATAAATCTTCCAGAGGATCGTTACCGAAGCTCGACTTTCGCGCAGTGAACGAGTAAAACGAACCTCTTTTCGTCGCGATGCATCTCCGCATCCTCTAATTGGCAATTAAGCATCGACTGTAACGCGATCGAATGCCGAACGACGTTAATTCGTCATCCTGCCACTTTTCAACCGTCATTTTTTTCAGTGACACAAGATCGTCTTTCTTTATTTCGATATGTGAAACACATTTTTGATAGAATGATCTGCCATCTCTAAACGATTTTCCGCTCGCAGAAACTCCATTCTTTAAAAATACAAACTTCATTTGCACTCGTAATGAACGGCTCGTATCCACGTTTGAATGATTTCACGTTGCGTACTAGGAGAGAACTTTCGGCGTGCAATCCGAAGGATTCGTGTCGAGTTATGCACAGTTGTTACGAATTGAAATTGCATTCCGTACCTGCGTTGAAATTTTCCGCGCTTCGGCATTCTGGTAATGTTTTCATACGCAATGCACGCAATTGATTGAAAGTTTTCAAACGCTTGCGAAAGTTTTGAGTGCGCCGATAATGCATGTTCAATTGACGAATTATTCATTGCTGTCTTATGCTTTCATTCCTATTGATTTTTCAAAGCCAAATAAAAGACAAAATTTCGATGAACGTTAATTCGTAAACTCTCTGTTTGCTGTCAATGGCCACTCAAAGTTGTGGAAATACGAGGACAATTTTGTTGGCCTGTCGAGTTTATATTTTCAACCATTCTGTTTTAAAATAATATTCTCATTGTTTATCTCGCCGATCCAGACATATTTTCACAACGAATCGTGACTGTTGCACGACAAAGTCCAAACAACTGTATTGGATAAAACTATCGATAATATGGAACACTACGTAGAATCACTCTGTACATCTTTAAATCGAAAAGTTGTTCCGCGCCGTCGGTTCAACAACCAGCGAACTTTTATTTCCCCATTTCCGGCCAAATTTTTTGCCGTTACCTATCCCAGGCAAAACATACAAAGCCTTTTTTCGTACGTCGTCTCGTTCGTTAAAAACGTACTGTTTTCCGTACAGATCGCGCTCTCCTCGATCAGGTCAGCACGTTTTGCCGAGAGGCGCGCATACATCAAAATCGTGGGCGTATCACGTACCTTGAGCTCCTGCGTTTGTAGCAGTATCCTCTGGCGATTATGCTCGCTAACCGAGTTCCCGTATGACCTTCGCCGCATCAGCCACTCTCTCTGCAACAACAAACAATCCCTGAAGCTGCCATCGGTTCGATGAAACTTCCGCAGACTAAACATGCCCCCGGGCTTCGAGCGACCACCTCATCGCTTTATTTACTTTTTACGAAAGCCTTGCGACGGTCTATCTCTGGAAGCTTCCTCTGACACAGCCACCCAAACAAATCCACAGTTTTGTTAGAAAAAGTAGCACTTTTATCGAGGAATAGTTTAATATTTAAACCTTTCCATGTTTATCATCCATCGAATATCAGTTTTAAGAATGTCTCATGAAACTAAAATAGTTTGAGAATAGCAGGGACGGAGGATCGTCTGACAGTAGCATACTTACACCCGGTGGACCTCATTTCTCTACCATCGACGAGTATTCAGCTCTGGTTCGCCCCGTTAAAACTGTAGTAAGATCGATCGATCGAGCTACACCGAAAATCGTGGAGTGCCGACTCTCCTCCCGGCCGAATCCGGCGCAAAGTAGATTATGCAAATGCTCTTCGAAAGAGGACGACGCAAAGGGAACGAGAGAAAAGGTTGAGTGGATGGAAAGGGATGGGGGAGTGGGGTAACCGAGAGATAGAAAGGAAGAACAAAAGAACGGGGGAGGAGCGAGAAAATCGTATCTGGCAAAAGGGTCAGAGGCTCGATGCATCGGGCAAGACTACCCTTAAAAGTTAAATGAGCCAACGAACGACGCGTAGTGGGATAGTTTGCATCAAAAATTATTTCCATTCTTTAATCAAATTTCTTTCGCATAAAAACATACGATAAACTACTGTAACACTTTATCCGTAGTCCACCTGTTCGTCTAGATTACGCGACAAAATTTTTGGCCAGCTTTTCGACCCAAATACCCCACCAATGTCACATCGGACGACTCAACAAACTTCGTTTAGCTTCTCCGTCTTTCCCTTGTGTCTCCTTCTTTTTGTTTTTTTCGTTTCCCTGTACACGCATTGTATCGTTTCGTCCACAAAACCGCACCGTTAATGCACGTCCATATAGTTAACATCACAGCGAGTTAAACCGCGGGCAATATTAATACAACCTCTCAGGAGTCAGTATAATTATGGGCATTATGCGTTGCCTTCGCTGTCCTCTCGTATTCACCCTCACCCGACCTCGCTTGGTGTTTCATTTAAACTGTCCTCGACGGCGCGTCCACTGGGAACAAATTTATTCCCGTATATCGGTGCGCTTATCTCCGCTCGTACCAAGTTACTCGGTAATCCCGGATAATAGCGGGAGAATGTACGACAAATGTGGAACTGTAAGAAACGGACTTGGATAAAGTCCGCATTTTTCTTTCAGTTACAGTCGCGCCGCGAAACTTCTTTTTGTATCGTGAACGTGTACGTGTACGTTGCCTAACGCTCGCGTAGTCTCGTGAAACGTGACCATTGGTTAGCTTGGAACGTTTACCGTAATTACAGGTCCCGATGGATCCTGCATTTTTCATGACTATTCATTTATTTATTTCGGCGAATAGAAATGATTGTAAGGAAGTTACAATAGCGTTACAGTAGCGACAGTTACAAGAGATGTCAGAAAACGCAAAAATTGAAAAAGATTCGAATGTCTAGGAAACTCGGGAGATTGTCACACGGTTCGAGTAGAGCGCGAGGTAAGGGATCCAACGCTTCCGCCTCTCGTTTAAAGAGAGAGGGTGTCCAAAGGAGGAAGGAGCTCGATGGAGAGCCGAACTGTTGGACGTGAAATTTTAATTTCCAATCCGCTAAAATCGTTTCCGTGATAACGGTCCGCGATCAAGCCGATGGAATTCCATTTCCCTTGGAAGCCAAGCAGGAATGCGGATACGTGTCCATGGGATGGTGCGCGGAAGTCCACGAGAAACCGTTCCCTCCGCCTTCGAGTTCCGGTCCGCGGTGCTGGGGATCTGAAAAATTTACAGGCCGCCCCGCCAGGTCTAGAGTATTTAGCTCAAAGGCTTCTGGAATTTACTGTGTCTCCGAGAATGACGGCGACAACTATTTTCTCGTCGTGCGCCTGGCGTCGCGGGACTGCCGGAACTACAACGGCACGCTACCTAGAATGCTGTCTAGGAAGAATGGTATTTCAGCCGACTTTCCGAAAACAATTCGCCGCTGTCGCGACGTCATCGAGCTTCTTGATGGATACTCGAGTGGTGCGCGTTCCGTCTGTCGAAGATATTCCATCGAATCGACTTTACGATACAATCTGGCCCGTTTTACGTTTCTCGACACTATCAAGCTTCGAATCTCCAAAGGAGCAGGTAACTTCTGTTTTACAAAACGGTTGTATAAGCAATACTTGATGATCAATATTTGCTTTCCTTTAATATCTTTTCATTAACGTGTCATCAACGTTCTCATTAAAATTCATCGATAAACCATCTTCGATTCTCCAAAGAATAACTCTAAAACTTTAGTCTCGATTAAGTATTCGGAATTCGAATATTCGTGTCTTTTTGTGTCTTAAAGCAAACGTTTCGTTTACTTCCTGCCTCGCTATGTATCACTCAAAGAACGTGAATTCCATATTTGACGGAATAAGTTTCTCCTAAGGCTTGCACTGAAAGCTCGCTTGTAGAGCCAGCCAAAATTCGATTGATCTTACTGCTTTCCCTTGTAGACTATACTTCAATATTTACAAAATACTTGAGCACTTAGGTTTGCGGGCTTCGCGGTCTTAAAGGCACTCGGGTAACTTGACGGTTTACTTGTCATCGACCTCGACCGCCGCTACCAAAGAGTAGTTTCCTACTTTCCAAAGGTAAATCTGACCAAAAATGGCCAAATTTTATTGCGAGCATAAAAGTGCACCTTCCAATTAACCATTGTCTCGTATTCTAACGATTCCAATGGCGGATCGAGCATTTTCCACGCTCGAATTTATCGTACGAATTTCCTAGAGCTTTTACGGAGAAAGTATTATGTAGCGAATGATAAGGTAGCTGCGAGGAAACGGCCGCATGTTTATTAGATTGAAGTTAGGAGGACGAGCGACAAGCTAACTCGCTTTACGTCTTCCGTGAAATTGTAAACTGCGATGGGTCGACGGAACCGAAGTTTCTTCTACTTCGCTTTCTCAACTCCGGCAGGTTAACTTCCGGTGGGACAAGGAAACAAGATTGCGAGATGTCTCTGTTCGAACTTCTGGTAACTCGACTTTGGCCCGAATAGTCGCGCTCGCCCGAGAATCGTCAAAAATGCAATTCGTGTTTTATGAATACGAAAGCACGTGACGGAAAACGTTTCTAGAAAACGGGCTGCTGCGTGCAACTATTAAAAAATCGACAGTTCATTGAGACTGTTATTTTTGGATCTTTTCAATCTCTGATCGACACTCCGTTCCGCAATAGCTTAACACTTCGCATTACTCGTAAAAAAAAAGTGTCTAACAGAATTATCGTGAGAAACTGTAAGGAAATTTCTCGCCTTTCACCGACATCGCGATCTCCTTACTCGCTACCAGCCTGCCCTATCTCCGAATCTCAATCACGCGAAAGTGGAAATACCAGGTACGTTAAGTACCGCGATACAGCGATCAAACGATACCGAGGAAAAAGGAGGAAACGTTACAAAAACCAACCTTCGCTTGCATCTCAACTTTATCGGGCCCGAGAGATCGATCGAGTTTCGGTATCGGCAAACTCCTGTAGTCCTCGATGGTGTACGGTCTGTAGCCAGAACTCTTCGATTTATCGTCACTCGCGTTCCGTCTAACTCTGTCCAGGCAACCGGAGTTATTTGTACCTTCTGGCACGTGTTGATGCACCGTTTCGGTGGATCCTGCGGTGGTTCCCCCCTCGATTATACGACGATAAAAACTGAGTTCGCTGCGATCGTCCCTGGGGGTACCAGGTAAACGTGTATCGTCGTCGGTAAGTTGCTCTTGTTGGCTGTCCCCGAAAATCGACAAGGTGGAACCCTCGGGAGATCGGACGTTGCAACGTGGTCCGTCTGTAAGCAACGTAATGTTTCAGAAGATGTGTTCGGTCCATGGCAGTATTCGAGTGCGTACGAATCGCTTTGAAATTTGTTTCGAAGAAACTTTACGCCTACAGGTGTGGTCGTTGAGAAACGAGACGTACGCAGGGCTAACTGACGTAATAATCTTGAATCATAGCTGATAATACCATGTTTTGTAGAAACCTCCAACCTCGTAAACACGTACACAGATTTATTGCCCTAATGACTACATTCGTCTCCCTCCAGAATACAAACATAAGGACAGAATCACATTTATAACCGTGATTTATACGCACATCAGACTTTGAAACAGTTTGAAGATCGTTGATAAAAGTCTGACGAATTCCTCGAGGACTCGAGGCCAGTCGAAGCTCCGAAATCCCTTCGATATCAAACCCTGTCGAACCCAACCCGCCCATAAGCAATCTCCAGGCACTTGTATTACCCGGGGGTGGCGTCTGGGCTTTTAAAAATAACCTTTCTTCCGAAAGAAATCCTTCTTCCGTTTCGAATTACAGAGAGATCCAACGCGTCCAAATAACAATAAAGCAGGACGCCTCCATGGCGGCGACAAACACGCGGAAAGGGAAGAAACAAACAAGAAGGGACGCCCTATGAAGACTGGCGTACGTTTTAATCCCTCTTGCAGGTATATATATCACTGGCGTGGAAACGACATCTAATCACGACCAAAGTAAACGTCCTCGGAGAAAATTGCATCGTTTCGGTGCCGTTTCAAGCGTCTCCGCGTAAACGCGCTTCCAGCCTCTCCCCTACAACCCTCCCACGTCGACCCCCAAGTTTTGCGTCGGTCACGAACCAAGAAGGAGGAACGTCATCTCGTTTCGGACTAACTGAATCTCTGACGATAAAGCTCCAAATAGGAACGCGGCTTCCTCGCCTGCTGAATCCTCGGGGTAAGCACGTTGCCAAGCTTTTTGTCTGGCTTTATAGACATCGGGTTCTCTTTGGGACAGCAACTTCGTTTCGTCGGAAACATCCGCGTCGAACGTTTGGGACATCCCGAGGCCAACCTCTTGTTCAAGCTTCCTTCTTCCCGCTTTAAACTGTTCAGGTTCTGAAAGATAGGAATAGACTTTCCTTCTGAATACAAATTTTGTGTCGCGGAGACTTGGCAAAGACATTAAATACGTGAGTGATGTTGCAGAGTCAGATGGACCCTTGGTATTATTTTTCAAAACCGTGGAGCATTTTTAAGACCCGAGTCTCATCTTGCAGCGTTTCTTGGCCCACTGTCTTACATTTCTCTTAAGGCGATCCGTGACATCCCGTTTACTGTTCCACGAGGAAGCCGGCCGCCATCGCTTGGACACGTCTCCGAATCCTTCGTTCGCAATTATCGCATTTCTGCTGTCTGCTGTCCTCGTGTCTTTGTCGGTACCAGTGCAGCGCCCGGTTTCATTAGATCTGGCATCTGAAACGTTTCCAGAAAAAAAAAAGGGTAAAGAAAGTCAGATCCTCTTCGGCAGGAAGAGTTCAGAGTTTCCCCCGTTTTGTCGTCAAAGCATTCGCAGAAAGATTTAAACGTAATTGACGTATGATCTAATATCCATAAATTGAAGTACTTTGAATCTCACGCTTACCTTGCCTCTGAATTAATACTGCATGGGTTGGTTTTGATTGAATCGATACATTGTCACACAAATCTGTCGATATCTTAATCGACGCCAAATTAAAATCGTCGTTATCTCCGCAAAGAGAGTCCTGATACCTCGGAGATACTTTGTTCGTGTCCTCCAATGAATCCGTCGAATAAACTGACATTTTTGCGATAATTCAAATTTATGTCGTAGAAAAAGCAGTAGCAATTACTTATATCGCGTCACGGTTTAGGGCAGCTTGCGTGATTTGTGACAAGTAGGCAAGTGAAAATGTTTATTTTCGATACATTTGTTGTTGAGATAACTTCAAATATATATAGAGAATGATACAGAATGATTATTGTACCCGTGAGTATAATATCGCTCAGAAAGATACACGTATGCAGGTCTCTTTATAATACATGGGCGGCTATTTCCCGGCATACGACCGCAAAGGTTACCGATTTTAGAACGAGTGGCGTCATCGGTGACGAAACGTCCAAGTTTGTCGTGAAAATAATTCCCGCTATTCCCGCTAGATGGGGATAACAATACGTTTCAATAAATTATTTTTTATTTTTCATAAATACATAATTAATGAGATTCTGTGCTTCATAACGTTGGAATATATTATACTAATATCAAATTTATTATTTTTATGAATAATTATTTAGTGTAGGAATAATTATCGACTCTTTAGTTAATTGCGTCACTTAGCGATATCGGTCGGAACTATTTTCACTATAAACTTGGGGACTCTACCACCGATGGCGCCACAGATACATTTTAATCAATTATTTTTGTATTTTTTATGAACGCATAATTATTACGATTCTTTGCTTCATAACACTGCAATATATTATTCTCATGTCAAATTTATCATTTTTATGAATAGTTATTTAATGCAGCAATAATTATCGACCTCTTTAGTTAATTCCGCCATCTAGTAGATACTCCGGGAACTATTTTCACTACAAGCTTGGGCGTTTTGTCACCGATGGCGCCACTAATATTAAAACTATTACCAATTGCAAACGAGAGTCGGGAAATAGCCGCCCGTGTATTTCACCCTATCCTAACCACGTGAAATGAAGATTGAAAGTCTTTTTTATTATAATTCATAATTATTTATAAAGAGAATGGGTAAAAGTATAACAAAAAATGCTTCTAATACGAAAAATAGTGGTAGTAACGTTCTCAAGGTAAAGTACAATACTTTCACACATATTATCATTCATGTTTACGTACTCAATTATGAGATGTTTACAAATGGATATATGTATTTACGACGTATTTTATAGGCAAACCTAATATATTTATTTTAGAGAAAAAAACAAGGAGGGGTTAAAAAACACAAATATAAATCTACTATCGGTGAAAGTAAAAGTTTAATTTCCAATGACAAATTCAAGAAAAATACACAAAAGCTTCAAAATAAATTTAAACAAGTACATAAGAATGGAAAAAATCATACATCTAGCGGTTTAGTTGATTCTGATATTATAAATGTTGTAAAATTAGAAAATAGGACTCAGATTAAAAAACCAAAGTTTCATAATAAAAGTAAGACTATACAACAATCTAATCAAACTAAAAAATATAAACCAAAGAAACATGTTGATCAAATTCTTGATCAGTCTAACAGAAAGGATGACAATAATAGGCAATCCAATAAAAAGAGAACCAAACAACAAACGTTTAATGTTAACAAAGATCAAAATTTTAAACGTACAAAATATAAAAAGAAAAAGCAGTTGAAAGCAGAATGTGGAACAGTAAAAGTGAATAGAGTCTTACAGAAAAAAGTAAAACACAAGGAACAGGAGCAACCCCATGACATTCCTCAAGAAAAGAGCACTAATGCTAGAATGGTTAAAAACCATAATAATTTAAATATAAAACGGTTAGAAGAAATGCTTGCTGTAAAACAGAGAGAAGTAAAAATAGAAAAAAAAAATGAAAAACCATTATCATTAAGAGAAAGAATGATGACTAAATTAAAGGCATCTAGATTTAGGTATTTAAATGAAACCCTTTACAATGGTGAAAGTTCTGAATCTAAAAAATACTTTAAAGATGATCCAGATGCATTTAGGGCATATCATGAAGGTTACAAACAACAAGTTGAACAATGGCCCTTGAATCCTCTTGACATTATAATATCATCCATTAAAAAAATGTTAGTGTATAGTATTCTATGGTATCATTTTATTTTTAATCATAAATATTTAATATAAATTGCTTATATACTACTTATTTTATATGATAGGCCAAAAGAATATGTTATTGCTGACTTTGGATGTGGAGAAGCCACACTTGCTGCTTCTATTCCACATAAAGTGCACTCCTTTGACTTTGTTTCTTTGAATGAAAATGTAACTGCTTGCGATGTTGCACATACTCCTTTATTAACAAGTGGAGTACATGTTGTTGTGTTTTGTTTATCTCTTATGGGAACTAATCTTAAAGATTACATTGTAGAAGCAAATAGGGTTCTTAAGAAAGAGTAAGTATACGCAGCTAACATTAAGTTTAAGTGTTAATATAATTATTAAAATCAAAATTTATCTATGAAATATGTTTTCAGTGGTATTTTAAAAATAGCTGAAGTTGAAAGTCGATTTGAACATGTAGAAGACTTTATAAAAGTATTAAGTAATTATGGTTTCAAAAATACCTGGAAAGATTTGTCCCATAATCTATTCTACTTTTTAGATTTCAAAAAGGAGAAAGATATAGGTGGCAAAAAAAGTAAGTTTCCTCCTCTTACCTTAAAACCATGTCTATATAAAAAAAGATAAAAATGTATTTAAGTATTATTTTATTAAAATTATTATTTTGTTATCTACATTTTATTTAAAGAAATAACTATATTCATAAATGAATATAAAATACTGTTCCATAATGTTTTGATATTCACATTTTCTTAAAATGACATCAAATACAATTTGGATGGTTAATGTATGTGCCTGCTTAAACAATGTGCTATTCTTGAAACACATTGGTCTGTTTGGCACAAGTTACAATAAATACATAATGATAGAAAATAAATTTTATTTTATTTACTAAACAAATAGGTTTTTGTGACATTCTTTGAGAACGATATTAAACAGTTTATTTTTATAAATCTTTAAGTATATATACACAATTAGAAGATATTTCATTAACATTTTCATATTATACAAAACTTTATCAAAATTTTAATCAACATATTACAAAATCAAAGAACTTAATCCTCTTAAAGTATCTATGCCATCTAGAACGTCTTCTGCCTCATCTTTTAGATTTTCTACTTTTTCCACTATTAACAGCTGTAAAATATGTCAAAAATAAAGCTAAAAATAGTAACATAATGAGTAAAAATATTATTGCAAACAACATAAAATATAATTACTGTAGCAACTTCAATCATTTTTGTCGCAGTTTTTGCATTTAAATACGGAATGCTTTTTTGTAAATCCATTGGCCTCGCTTTTGCTATACACTGCACTGTTTTATAACCTGCATTGTACAATTGACGCGCTCTGCCCTAATAAATGAAACATTACAATCTATGTTTACATCTATGTTTATAAATCTTTTTATTCTATCTAATAACACAATAAAACAAATTTCTTACAATTTTCACTAATGGCAACTCCATCAATGCCTCTAACTCCAAAGGACAACAATAGGATAATCTTTTACTGAATGTATTTAACAAATCTCTGAACGCCCAAAATTCATCTAACTCCTACAGTGATTATGGGATTTTTAAAAGTATTTGGTTACAAAAATAATGTGTTTATGAACTAACCTGGCAAAATCGAACCACAGAAAATGCAAAGGATGATACAGACGACAAAAGATTTTGTATAACACCTCTGTTTACTTGGAACTTGTCTGCAATTGTGTAAACTGCATGATGTGCCCATAGTTCATGCAATATTAATGTTACGTAAAATCTTTGAATTACTCTTGATTCTACGTTCTGTTACATATAGAATAATTCAGATATCAAAATTAATTTAATATAAATGAATATACATATATACTAACCTTAGGTGTTAAACCATCACGTAATTTTCCAACAGTTATTTCATTGATCCCAAGAAGTCTTGCTGTTTTCATCTGTGCTTCGGATAAATTAATCACCTAAAAATGTTGCATAAATATTAAATAAATATTGATAACAAAAATGAATCCTAATTAAAGCTGTAATAGAAAGTTACCACATTGTAATAGACTGATCCAACTGGTTTTATTTGAGATATTATACCGTATGGAGTAACAATATATAACAGATGTAAATAATCAAGAAGAATCAAATGTTCCTGTGCTTTTTTTAAATCCTGATATAACGTATGTGCGCATTGTATATCAATGTTACCTACACCGTGAAAATGAATTTAAATTAATGAAACTTAAAAACATTTCCTGTTTATTGTTTTATAAAAATAATGAATTGTACCTTTCATAGCCGCACGTCCCAAATTACACAATTCTAATTCAGTTTCTTTCGTAAGTGCTATCTTCTTTTTCCCTTTTATTTGTGTACCTTTATCATTGAAACATACATTTTGCGACGGAATAGCAACAGTTACATTTGGTTCAAACTCATTGATCTTCTTTTCTTTTTTCTTTACTTTCATTACACCACTTTTTAAAAATTCAGTTATTGCTTCGTCTGTGATTTGTTTAATATTTATATCTAGACGTTTCTGCTGAATATGAAGTAATGTCCTTCTTGTTATTTTATGTAATTCCGATCTATTTGTTGCTATAGAGAATAATGTAGCACTCAAAATTAAGTTATTTATGCCTCTGTCTTTGTCCATGTGTAATGTACTTAAACAATCATCCATTTTGGATGTTAAAATTTGTTTTACCTATATTAATAAATATTAGTATATAAAAATTGTATTTTCTACATATGTAATATATTCTAACAAAATGGCGCCTTACCTTCGGTAGTTCATTACTTTTACATATAAGTATGCTTTCTCCAATACTTCCCATACCAGCACGACCAGCTCGTCCTACCATTTGTTTATATTTATTCAAACTCAAAAACTGGTTACCCACATATGGACTTCGTAATATGACCTGTTAACATTTGTAAATCAAAGTCAAACACTTTAAGCAGTTTATGCATGTAATAAGTAGAGTACCCTTCTGGCTGGTAAGTTTACTCCAGCTGCTAATGTTGATGTACAACATATTACGCAAAGAGTTCCTGCTTTAAAAGCATCTTCCAATAATTGTCTTTCTTCAGATGTAAGACCAGAATGATGGTAAGCTACGCCAAATTTTATAGTTTTACGTAAAATAGGGCAAAGACCTTCTTCTGTTTCAAGTGCATTCAATAACTTTTGTTTTTCATCTTTTTTATAATTCTCCAATGATCTAAAAATGTTCACGTAACATAATTAACTGCAAAACGTACGACTACTCCAACATACTTAATTTACGGAAAAAATAATATCTCACGTGAACAAAACTTTAGTTAACAACAAAGCAACATTTTCACAATTTTTGCGACTCGAACAGAATATAAGACACGAGTCTCCTGGAACTACATCCATTACTAAACCTCCGATTCTGTCTGGGTCTATGATTGCTGCATCATTTGAATACTAATTAAACATTCAAGGGACCAAAAAAAAAAAAAAAAAACTTTCAATTATAATTATAAAATTGAATAAAATAAAATAACTTAAACTTACACGATAATTAATTTTCTTCAAATCCGTCAATAAATCTTCTGTTTTCAAATCAAGCAACCAAATATTATCATCGCATTTAACATACTCTTTAACTTCAATAGGTCGAAAATTTCCAGTATATAAATCCGCATTTAAAAATTCTGATATTTCGTCTAAATTGCCTATTGTTGCACTCATTCCAACTATGTGAACATTATCTGGAATAGGAATTAATAATTTGTACAAAAATTATATACCGACAAATTCTATATTTTCCTTACCATTAACATACAATGCTTTTGTTAAAAGACCTTCTAATGTAGCACCTCTTCCTCCAGCTTCACCCAGGAGATGTAGTTCATCCACAACTATAATACCAATCTAAAATAGTAATCCATTATTATTGTTGTTTTTATTGAATATATTTTGACTTACTTCGTTAAAACGATTTTCTTCTATTAAACTGTTTATTAAACCTAATGCTTTCTCTATAGTACACATATATATACTGTTTTTTTTTCTATGCTTTCTTGGTGGGTAAGTTCCTTTTAACGCAGCATACTCCTCAATTAGAAAACCTAATTCTAATGCAAATGGTGCCATTGATTGAACCTATGTAGTATATAGAACGAAACATGTTTTAGAAATTATTTATTACAACATTTGTAAAATTTTTCATTCCATCAATCAATATTAGTACATACTTTTTCTTGAACTATAGCAATAAATGGTAGTATAAACATTGCGTTTTTTTTATTACATATAAGTTCTTTTAACATTAATATTTCTGCAACTAATGTTTTACCTCCACTTGTTGGAAGAGCATAAATTAAATTCCTCCTATTTTTTACTGCATCTAGATTTAAGCACTCATCCTGCCATTCTAAAACGAATAATTATTGTTAATGAGCATTTCTTATTAACATTGACAATTGAAATGCTTACCATAAAGTTTTTCAATACCCCTAATTCGTAAGAAAATGTTCTTTACTCTATCTGGTAATCCATAGAATGTACAATGTTTTGTTGAAGCTATGGAATAAGTTCTTGTATATAATTCACTTGCTTTCTTGTCCTCTGAATGATATATTTTATTTGGAATGTCATTGTTGTAATCAACTACACTTCTTTTTAATGAATTCACATTCTGTTGTTTATTTCTTGATAAATGCATTGAATCTAAGCATTGCATGAGGCCTGTTTCTTTTGTGCACATTTCAAATTGTGAAGGAACAAATTGTGTAAATGCTTCATTCAAGAATGTTTCATTCTGCCAAATATTATTCTTTTCGTTTTGTACATTGCAAGTCGTATGTACAGCATCTTTCTCCTCAATTTTTGTTTGTAAATCTCCTTTGCTGTTAACAGTAGGTGGTGATTTTTCACATTTTTGATCTACTTCAAACATATCTAGCATACTCCATTCATGAGTGAAATTGTCCTTTTCAATACTGTTTAGTATTGTATCATCCATACAAAGAATTGAATCAATAGCTTGCAATGATGTTGACAAACTTTCATTTTCACTCTTAGAACTTTTATTTTTGTTTATTTCTTTATACATGATTATTATTATAAACTAGTTGGTATTCATTATAATTACAAAATTATCGATGTAATTAACGATTACAAAAATTGCATACATTTATTCATCATATTTATATCTGGCTGGAACAGGCTAGAATAAACACGATTGACAGAAGTAAAATTAAACAACTAGGGCTATATATAAACACAGAATCAAATCAGCTGACTCCAGTCAGTAGTATTGTACAACACGCAATAAGTTTTACTTGAACATACAGAATAAAATAACGAAAATGAGTATTTTTCTAAAATCTTTCGTGTCCGTAGTAAGTGCAAATATGTAGCATATCAAACAACAACTACGCTACTTTTTTTTTGATTATGTCTTTAAGATCGTAACAATACATAATTTAAGGTTAAACCGGTACACTTGGTAAGAAGTGTTTCAACAACTTGTGCAAGATGTAAAGATGAATTAGATGATATTATTCATCCTTTAAGTCACGAACCGAGCATACCACTGTATGTTGAACGTAATGACGAAAATATAGATGTTAAACGAGCAAGGTAATAACAAATTAACAGGATTAACGTAAAATTATAATTTCATAACACATTACTTGTTTTTCTTCAGGCTGGTCTACCAATCTCGTAAACGTGGTATGTTAGAAAATGGTCTTCTTTTAAGTACATTTGCTAAGAAATATTTATCTGAATTTAATGATAAACAATTACAATTATACGACCGTCTCATCAATTTACCATCAAACGACTGGGACATATTTTACTGGGCTACAGGTGCAAAGCCTACTCCAGCTGAATTTGATAATGAAGTTATGAACTTATTAAAAAAACATATAAAAAATGAAGATCGTCAAGCAAGGATAATGCAACCAGCATTGTAAATATTATAGTATTCAAAAATAAAATTATATCACTATAGCAAAATATTATTTATTTGTTTAAATAATGAATATTTCTTTTAAGAGTATACATATAGATACATTATTTATTGTGAATGTGACCTGAGTAGAAATATAAATATTTCAATCAATAAGAAATGTGAAAATTATTTTCTAATATATTTTCATGCATTCAATATTTACACACACTTTTATTAAAATCATCAATAAAAATAAATAATTTTACATAATACTGTTGCAATCAGATCTTAAGTTAGAACAGTCATAATTTTTATGTTACAAATCTATGATACAAAGAAGGTTATTAATTAAATTGCATATATCTATGTGGATCCGAGAGATATTCTTTTTTCTGGGTAAAGTTTACAAGTCCTGGACCTTTGCTTGAAGTTGTACTTTTTGTTTTTGTAGTAGTTTTTCCTTTCTGCGTACTGTCAATTAAGAAAAATTAAAATAGATGTAATACGATTTCTATAAAACATGCATAATATGTATATCACCTTGATGTAGTCCGTTTAAATTTTTTGGCAGTATTTCGATAATTGCCTCTACTTTTACGCTTCCTACCACCGCCTCTGTTAGATTTACCAGAATAAGTAGAAGTGTTATTAACCCACGTATCGTCGTCGTCGTTCTCACTTTCCGGTGTTTCTTCATTTAATAACACTGTATAAATGTGCATAATGAAATGATTAAAAAATATTACATATACATGTACAATATTAAAAACTAACATGTTACCATATTTCTCTGCAGCATATTTTTGTGTAATATCCAACAATGCTTTCCCATACTTTTCGAAATTTGCTTTGGTAACATGTGGTATTTGCAACATAGCTTCCTCATTGTCTGGAAGTTTTTGACTCATTGCCCTGATAGCTATCATATTCATAACAGAGGATGCTGAAATATCGAGTGCTCCTGCAATTCCCTTTATTATTTCCATTAGCTCCTTGTAACAACGTTCTTGTAACTCCAGAATAACTTTATCAATTTTCTTTGTGACCGCGGATACCGTTGCCACTGCAGTAGAACTGTTCTCAGATGACCTCATAGGAATTATAACCTATTGTATAGAAATAATAGTATTTCACTTACATTGAACATTACTCATGTAAAGAAAAATATATTGCTTCTACCTTTACATCCTTTTGAGTCATAAGTTCGCTAGCATTTGGACCAATTTTTAGATAGGCACAAGCAATTTCATTATTAATATACATATGTTCTTGCAAATAGTCCTTAAGTACCATATGATGTAGCAGACGTTCTATGTCGCCTCTATTCCACGATCTTCCAAGACCATATAATGGAAGCTTATTTAGACCTATGAAGATATCAAGTAATTATTTCCTGAATAACGTATATTTATATGAACTTATCTGTTATATTAAAGAATTGTTTTTTTTCTTTACCCGATTCCCTAATTTTTTTAAGATCACTTCCTTTAAATATGTCCGTAAGATACACTAATGTAAGTTTACAATTTTTCATTTGGTTAATATCACGAACACCTTTCATAATATCTTTTGCATAATCTGTCGCATCAAGCATAGTGAAATCATCCTAAAAAGATTTATATAATTTTATAAAATATTTACATAAAGACACCTTTGACAATGAACAATATATCATCTTAAATTTTACTTACTTTACACCTACAATTATCGCACGATGTTGCTTTATTAGCGATGCATTGTTCTCGTTGAAACACTTCACCAAAATAATTTAGTTGCAATGATCTACGACAATCCGTTTTGTTTTCGCAAAATGATACCATTTTAAATAAATTATCCATGTGAGTTTTTATTACAGCAGGATTTGAATTATCCATTTCAATCATTTTCCTTATTCTATGCATATCGGCGTAATTGTAAAATAAAATACAGTCTGCATTTTCTCCATCACGACCAGCGCGTCCACTTTCTTGGTAATAACCTTCGATTGATTTTGGAAGCGCGGCGTGTATTACAAAACGTACATTTGGTTTGTCAATGCCCATTCCAAATGCTATTGTTGCACAAACAACTTTAACCTAGAATGTAATAAATGTAAAAACCAAGCAACCTGAGTGTTATGACCAAAACAAACAAAAATTATATACTTCTTCCGAAATCCATCGACCTTGAGTGTCACTTCTATTAGCATCGGTAAGTCCAGCATGATAGCTTAGTGCTTTGATACCATTCTTCCTCATTTGTATCGCGTAGGCGTCACAATCTTTACGAGATAAACAATAAACAATTCCACAGTCGGACTTATATTTCGTTTTTATCATAGCTATAACTTCATCTGAACAAGCTTTTCCCTTCTTTGCAATTACTGTGTACCTTAAATTAGGCCTATTGAAACTTGACATGAACCTGAAAAATAAATCTTTTATCGCAACTATTTAAATTAATAATGGTGCAATTACATACCACTTTGGTTTGGTAAGTCCTAATTGGTGCAAGATATCGGTTCTAACCCTCGGTGTAGCTGTTGCTGTGAGAGCAATTGTTGACACTTTAGGATAATTTTCTCTTAGGCATTTTAATTTTTTATAATCGGGTCGAAAATCGTGACCCCACTGACTTACACAATGTGCCTCATCAATAACAAATCTTGCTAGTAATTCTCTCCCATACAACGTAGCTAAAAGATCGCAAAATTTTTGAGACGCGGATATTTTTTCTGGTGTTACATACAGTAACTTAAGAGCCGGTTCCCTTTTTGAAAGTTCTCTGTATATTCCATCTGCCTGACTGTCTGTTAGTCCACCAGACATATGCGCGGCTGGAATCTATACAAAGTTTACTTCTAAATTGTAATTGAATTATTATATACGACGATATAAGATGTAGTATTTACGAAATTCTTACATCGAGAGATGTGAGCTTTTGAACTTGATCAAGAATAAGACTTTTTAATGGAGAAATTACAATTGTTACGCCAGGCAATAAAAGTGCTGGTAGTTGATAGCATAAAGATTTTCCTCCTCCAGTTGGCATTAAAACAAAGCAGTCAAATCCCAAGATCGCGGCGTTAATTGCTTGCAATTGGTTTGGTCTAAATGAATATAATCCAAATTTTTGTCTGAAAATCTAAAAATTCAGAGAGTTTTATATTGATTATAACGTATAAAAAGTAAAATATTTTACCTTCAACATTTCCCGTGAATGTGGATAAGTCAGACTATCAAATTCACCACTAATACCATCATTTTTGTAATTGCCAGTAAATGTACCCATTTCAACATTTGGTTTAGTTATTTTCTTTTGTTCTTTGCCTTTTTCGTTAGTAATATTCTTTGCATTTTGTGTAGCCATTGATTCAAAACCTACAAATGTAAATTAAAAACATACAATAATAAATAAATATATAAGTAAGAAAAGTAAGTCCATATTACAAATAAATTAAAATTTACCTGATAAATCCACCACACTTGACTTTATATTACAATCCTTATTTAACGCGGGAAATTGTTTGAGTTCTTGAGTTAAGCAATCAACTATATCTTCAGAATATGAGTTATCTACAATAAATCAATAATTACATATGAAAACATTATGAGATCTAAATTATTAAACATAATTATATTTTATATGAAATGGTTACTATACATACCAAAAGCACCACCCAAATTATTTTGATTGTTTTCACATTTTGAACTTTCATTAAATTGAAAGCCTTTTTTTATTTTTTGTACAGCATATACAGTTTCATTAATTTCAGTTCCTTCTGACTTATATAAATCGTTAACAGTTGTGTGTACATCAGAAGTAAAAATTGTCTCCTTGGGATTGATAGTTTTAGATTTTTCTTCTTTTTCCCATAGCTCTCCAATCCGTTTAGAAACTTCTGTTCCTAAAGTTGCTTTAATAGGTCTCTTCAACTGAAATGTACCTTTCTTGCTCTGAAGTACGGAATCATTTGATTTAGCTTGAATGGGAGAATAATGAAAATTTTTATTATCTTCCTCTTCCTTTATTTGTGATACATTGTTTTTCTGCAATGGCTCTTTTATTATTGGTGAAAATGTACTATCTACTTCCATGACATTAGCACAATTTGGTTCTGCATCAATGGAATTAATAATAGACATATTAAAACTATCACTATCTGATATACTTAAAATTGATTGTTGATTTGAGGTATCCATTATTTTAGGTAATGTTGAACTACTTATAATTTCACACGATTTTTCATTGACAGATGGCTGTTTTTCATTAGATTGTGCATGTGTTAATTTTGTTTCTACCAAACGTATTTTTGCTTTAACATGCTGATATAGAATTCTTAAATCTTGAAATGTATGCGCATTGAAATTTGGGAACTTTTCTAAGACAGGTAATGGGATTTGATCTAATGCATTATAATATTTCTCAAGAATTTCTATTTGCAAATCTTTTAAATCCTTATATCTGTCTTCTAATTTATCTTTCATGGCCTGTAAATAATTCAGTTATTTTGCATACAATTGGTGCAGTAATAATCAATATATCGATTAAATATATGAATACTTACAGGTACTGAAGACATTATAGATTTCCCTCTTGCAGATTGTATCCAAGGATCTAACTGTTTTCCTAATCCCAATGGTTTTAATTTTAATTTAAAGTCTGGTCCAACCCATTCCTTTTTAGGAGTTCCTTTGGAACTATTCTTAGAATCTGGGCTATTACTATCTGAATCTGATATCACAGTATTTTCTTTTCTTTTAGTTTTTAGAAACTTTCTTGGAGTTCTTGGATCATCACTTTCTATTGCTTTATTATCTTCAGCTTCTGCTCTAAAGGCATCACTTTCAGGAGACATTAACGAAGATATATCCTCTTTCTTAATAGATGGAAAATGACTGGGCACATGTTCTTCACTGCTATCATTAATAATTATTTTCTTTTTATTTAAACTCAAACATGGTACTGTTTCTATATCATTTTCACTATCTGATGATTGAATAAATTTCATTTTTAATGTTGATTTACTTTTCAATACAGGAAATTTCTTTTTACTTTCATCATTTGACATCATTTTCTCATAATCATTCAAATTGTTATCTATCATCTTTGTGGGTGTTTTCATAGAACCATAAAGTAATGAATCCTCGCTATCCTAAAACATGCTTACTGTATCACATTAAATTCTTTTATACATTTTCTATAAACAATAAGAAATTTTCTTACAATAGATATGATGGACATTTTAGATATCTTTTCTAATTGTTTAGTATTACAAGATTCATAGTTGTTGGTTCTATTGTTTTCATTTTGCTCTAAATCTGTGACTGATGATTTTGGAGTACTGCCAAAAGAAAATGACATTTTCCTAATATATCTTAAAAACATTAGACATTATTAATAAATTGTGTAAACTCTTTATATACCTGGATTGTGTGGTAGATTTCTTTTTAAATCTTTCAAGAAATCCTTTAAATGTAGGTTGTATTTCAGTTTGACGGAGTGGAACCTTCTTTGACATATTCTTACAATTTTACAACACAACACTAAACACAATGTATGATAATCACAAAAGATAAAAGTTTTTTGAAAATGTTCATCTCTTGCAACTACACGTGTTTATCAAAACATACGATATAATTAAATATTATACAGAACACAAAAGACATTGAACATAATTTACATTAATTGAAGTATTTAGAGATATTTACAAATTAAGTCGATTCTCTTTAATCTACAATGATTTAATTATATCAAACGGCTTACAATTTCGATAAATTTTACATGTACATATATTTTTTGCAAATATTATTTACTTCTCGGTATTATGGGCGCCAACGCCAACGGGAGTAAATAATACTTCGATCTGAAGTTAGCAAAAGCAAAACTTTTAAAAATATTCTGCATTCAAGAATGGATACTTTATGATTAAAAAATAACTACACATGTGAAATTATAATATAAAGTGTCAAATACATTAGTATGCATTTTAAATAATACGAAATTAATATATGTCATATTCTGTATTCGTCGATACGTCTTCATAATAAATTAAATTAAGCGCTATTCGACCTCAACAATTTAACAACTTTTCACTAGTAACAATCCCTATACCATCCTTGAATTGAAAAGGGATCAACAAAAGCAAAGGTGTGTTTTTTTACGCAACATAAACACGTTGACGTCTGTCAAATCGAATAATCTTTATGTTTTTTGTAAGAAATTCAATAATTATTTATAAAGTATTTTTTATTTGAAGTATTTAATATTATAGAATAGACTACCCTTTTTCCACATTTTTCACAGACAGCTTTTAATGAACAACATTCTATTCTTTTGCCATTTATTAATTTTAATCATTAGAATATGTTTAATTGAATATGTAATGAATATTTATCAATTGAGAATATGTATAAGTAAATATAATTTTGTAATTGTAATTCTGAGTAAAATGTTAGTAATAATGAATACAGATAAATTTTTCCATTTATTTCTATGTATAGATATGTGGAACATGAAATCATTTAACATATTGTGACTGTAGTAGTGAACGATTTCCACTGTGGTTGAGAATGCAATGGCATCATTCATAAACCCGAGGGCTTTTGTATGAGCCGAGCCTAGCCTCCCCTTGCCAATCCTTGTCAATCATTATCAGTCTATTGACACACATGACTTCCAGTTACAGTGGAACTATTCCACAGTGCAGCTTACATTTGTACGTGCACATAAGTCTGGTATATCTTAATATTTTAGTGGATTACATGAATTACCAATTTCAATCTATAATATACTTTTTTGCTCATTGCTAAAAATATAATTCTAAAACTTATAAATATTTATTAAGTAAACTTTTAGTGTTCAAAATATACTGTATACATAGAGCATCATTCATTTAATTGCTATAATAATAATAATAATAATAATAATTTTTTGTTAATTTATAGATAACATATAATCATGGACCAAGTATGCATAGAACCACATCTTGACATAACAGTAGATGAAAATGAAATTGTCAATGGTGCCAAAGAGATAATTAAAAGAATTAGGCCAACATGGCCTTTAGATAGGCTAGATTTTAAGGTAACAGATTTGTTGTGTTTTTATATTTTTTTTAAATCCTTTCACTGTATGCATTGTATTTTTTAATCTTATATATATTTTGTGAATTGTTAACTGTTTAATAAGTACTGTTATTCTGCAGAATGTAGTTGCATAGTTTTTATTTTAATTCAACAATAAAATGATTTAACTTCGAAATAAAATTAAGGTCAACATACTGCTTATCTAGTATTCGAGTATTATCTTTTGATAACAAGTTTGAGTTTCTTAAATCTCATTTCTTTAGTAATAGTTAGTCTGAGAGGTAATTAATACTAATATGTTTAGTATTTTTTTCAGATATTTACTGATGGGATTACGAATAAACTTATAGGAGTGTGGTATTCTGGGCATTACAATGAAATGGTTTTAGTTCGTGTGTATGGTCATAAGACAGATCTGCTAATTAATCGTAAGGATGAAACAAGAAATATTCGAGTAAGTGTAAATATGACAGAAACAATAAAAGTAACCAAATGAGTACAGAGAAAGATGTATCTATACTTTTAACAGATATTAAATAAGGCAGGATTTACCCATTCAATTTATGCTACTTTTAATAATGGGTTGGCTTATCAGTTTATCGAAGGTACTACGCTCACAACGGAAACGGTAAGAAATCCTAATGTATATACTTTAATTGCTAAGAGAATGGCTGAGATGCATAAACTAAAACCTGATAGCTCTGAGATACCCAAAGAAGCATTTATTTGGAGTAAAGTAGAAAAATTTATGGAAATTATGCCAAAACAATTTTCTGATGATTTCAAGCAGGCAAGGTAATATATTATAATAAGAAGTATGCTTGAATTTGTGTTGTTCTTTTAAATTTACTATTGTTGCTTTCAGATTTGAGAAACTCATAAAACCAATTAGTGTGTTAAGACAAAATTATCAGTTCTTAAAGAAGACACTTTCAGATTTGAATGGGGAAGTAGTTTTTGCCCATAATGATTTGCTTCTAGGAAATGTACTGTACAATCAAAAGGAAAATATTGTTACGTTTATCGATTTTGAATATACCGCGTACAATTACCAAGCTTTTGATATAGCTAATCATTTTGCAGAATTTGCTGGTAATCTAACCATTTTCCTAAATGATAAATGATATAATACGTTCTTTATTATGATATAATTTTATTTTAGGTATTGATAATCCTGATTACTCTTTGTATCCTGAAGAAGAATTGCAAAAAACATGGTTAAATATCTATCTTCAGGAATACAATAATGTAAACTATGTACCTGAAAATGATATTAATTTACTGTATATGCAAGTAAATAAATTTGTTCTTTTATCACACTTTTTTTGGGGTTGTTGGGGACTTATACAGAGCGAGCATTCAACAATTGACTTTGATTTTTTAGAGTAAGTATATGTAAATGTTCAAGAAATATTATAAATGATAAATGTGTATGTTTTAGAAAGTCTTGTGTGCTTTTCCCTAAAAATCATTGTAAAATTACTTGTTATGCTTTGTTAATGTAATAGTATTTTTATAACATTCTTTTTTATCAATCGGTATAATACTTTGTAGGTATGCTGCAATACGATTTAATGAGTATTTCAAGTGGAAAGAAGAATACCTTGACATGAAATCATGAAATTTAAAATAATTATTTTGTTTTTATTATGTTCGATATTTTATTGTATTAACATTCCTATAGTAGCATTATAACAGTTTTACATTCCGTTATGTACAAATTGATATTTTACAACAAAAAAAGGATATATATATATATATGTGTGTGTGTGTATACAATTCCGCTGTACATTTATTAATATTATTACATTTAGACAGTATTATATAGACAATGTACAAACATTATTGTTAAACTGATGTATATGTAAAGTGTTATCCTCAGAATATAACGTTATTAAAAAAAGAATGGATTTATAAATGGGAAATTACGTATTATTACCCTTTCTACATTTAGAAATAAGAAATGAAACAGAATATTTTGAAAATAGAATTCGGGAACTACATACTTTGAGTCTCGAATACAATTACAATTAGTTGTGTGGTTCAAGTCAAATTGTATATTGTTTACGATTCGTAAAGTTACATGTTAAATAAAATGTCAATTTACGAATTTTACTTAATATTATAAAATAAAGCAAGAATAACTGAACTTGTAAAACAAGAATTATAGATTGCACGTCCAATTTGAAATATTCTTGGTCTGGACATAAACATACACATGTTTGCGGTGTCATATGGTAAAGTCGATCGTTTGACTAGCAAGGTAGCAAGTATGTTTTTGTCTGGGGTGATCACGTACGCATCTGTACGCACCTATAAATCAGTGTTTATTTTTAGTAGAGGCTCCAAAGATTTTCAGAAATACTTGTAAATACGTGCGTCGTACCCAAGAAATGTAGAAATTTACCATTTAATGAAATTGTGTAGAGTCGTTCAGTAAAATTTATGCAAAATTTCAGATTATTGGCATTCAAAACTATCTCCGTATACGGTGAAACGAACTCTCAGACGCAAATATATATTTAACAGAGCCACGAGCTTCGGTAATTCGTTTACTTGGTTTAGAGTGTGCGTATGTGTCAACAGTGTGTGGATTAACCCATGAAACGAATTGTATAGCAGTCGAAACGAACATCAATAAATTTCCAAAGTGTTTATTTCTCTTTTCGAAAGTAAATACACCGTACGTCTAAGTGTTCCCTTTACTCAAAGGTAATAGGATATTATTTGAAATTTAACAATAGCGCGAAACGCACAGTGTTACAACAATATACTTCTCGAGTCAAACCATCGGTTTATACGTTCTACTGTTTCGTTCAAATTATCTATGAAAGCTTCGATTGATTCTAATCTCAAAAACTGAAAGCTGTTAAAAACCAGAAAGAGATTTTGGAAGTATATTTGATATATCTCAAAGAAAATTAAGTGAACAGTGTATATATCGTGTGCATGAGTCCCGGCATCGCGAGACAGTATTCTTATTTTTAAAGTTTCTTTTATAAAACGTTGTATACTGATCGTGTAAGATGCATATTGTGTGTAAATGTTTGAACGTGTCCATAAAATCGAGGGGCACTGAACTGCAAAAGGTCAACATCGACGATATTGAATTGTCACCTCCAGATCAGATCGACGGTTTCTTTGGTCAGGTGAGATAAATAATTTTCTGTAGTTACTGTTATAAATATTTATGAAACTTTTTCATGTGATATGAATGTATAATTTGCATGACAATGATTCATGATATTTTTCTATACAAATTTCGATCATTTTTATCAAAAGCTTCTAGCAGTTTTGTTAAATTGACAGAAAATATAATTGATGAGATTATACTATAATTAGAGTTGCAATTTCTGAATTATAGAAGAAGAGTGCATAAAACATTCTTTTATTTATAAATGAAAAATTATAATGTTAAAAGAAAATACTTTTTGTTTTAAACAGAACCTTGCAACAATATCAGAACTTGAAGGTATCACTAAAGAACAACCAGGTTTAGTGGAGATAAGGAATGTAGGATCATGGGTTATTCACCGTTGTTATAATTGTTCAATGTACACACATGCTGTACATAGAGACTATGGTGCTGCTTTAGTTCTTATTAACCGTGATATTGTTGTAAGTATACATTTTTCTATAATAATAGAAAGTAGAAGAATTAGTTTTGTTAAAACTTTTATTTTATGAAACTATCTCAACATAATTTATTATATGTGTGTATTTCATTTTTACTAGATCATGCTTTTTATTGTAGACTT